TAACCAATGGCCAAGTGTTACCTGCTCCTGATCATTCCAAATGATTTGTGGTCTATACTGATGCCTCCATGTACGGCTTGGGAGCAATATTAAGCCAGGTGAAGGACGACGGCATGGGGCATTGAGAAAAATGTGGGCACTCAAAAAGCTTTAACCTTATCTGTACGGTCAGCCCTTCACGCTGATGACCGACCATAACCCCCCCCCCCCCGATCTGGCTGAATCGAGTGACCTGGCCTTGCAACCCTACAATTTTACTATGCAGTATCGGCCACAATAACAATACATATGGTTTAGGACTTCCTCAACCAGCATGTTTGTTGAGGAAGTCCTAAACCATATATATTGTTATTGCTGTGATGTTCACATTGAACCTACCATCTTACCAATGTCTACTACACCCTTCGACAGTGCTGGCAACATAAACCTAGCAGCTGTTATTATGTCCACAGACTATTGTCTAAAGTAAGTAAGTGCTTACCTTACATAGAACATGTCGAATCCCCACAAACGTCCCCTCAATTTCCCTATGTTGGGCCACCCTATACTTCACTATGAAACTTGAGGTATCATTATCATTGCTCACTGACTTTGTTTCATTTTTCAATAAACCCTTTATTTTCAACTTAAAAATTACTGCTTCTCCCCATTTTTCATTAATAGAATGTAGAAAAAAGAAAAATACCACATTCAAATATTATAGATTTCTCTCATTTCATGTTTTTTTTTAATCCAGATATATAATAATCTCATTTTGGAAACTCAGAATTGGAATTGCAAAAATGTCTGATATTTCATATCCATTAGGCCAGGTAGTGTAACCCTTTTTTCATGCCAGCACAGTCATAGAAACCATTATTCCTGCCTAAATATCCTTCATGATTTTTTTTCTAAGCTAAAATTTAACGTAGCTGAACAGCAGCATGGACTAAATTCTTTTGTCCTGAGGAAACCATGTCAGAGGAACCACTGAGACATGGTGCGCCTGACCAGGAGCAATGCTAAATAATCCTGGAACTCTAAAGAAGATTGCAGAGTTACTGCTGTCCACTAAAACTTTAACTAGAGCACTTTCGGTCCCAGGACACTCAATCAGGGCACTCTTTGGAGGATTAACGATGGAGAGGCATCGAATGACACAAAGGACTTGGGGGGAGCCCCATGTACCCATGAAAAGCAACATGTTTTTAGGTTTACCGGGAAACTCTACCCAGCACTCTGGATCGGAAGCTAACCATGTCCCGCTGAACTTTGTACTTAAATTGAATTTAGGCTAGCTGTATCAAGTATGGGAGCTTTTTGGACAGAATGGGCGCTCCAGAGTGACCTTTTCTTGGATATATGACTTGTGGGGGTGCTCTACATTATTACATGTGTTTTGGTGTATTTTGTGTCTTTCACTTTCTGTGTCCTGGAGATAATTAGTTTAACCAAGAGCTTACTCTCTTATCTCCCAGACATAGAGACACCTGGGCAGACTTGTGTTACTCTAAATGCTGGGGGTCTGTGTATAAATTCTTGTGTTTTGCCCTAATAAAACCAGTTCTTCTTCACTAAGTCTCGACTACTGCTTGGATGAGACAGTGGTACCTTATACAGGAGGGTATAATTCCTCTGGACCTATACACGCTACGAAGGGACAACCTAAGAGGTAGTAATCCATCTTTTCGAGGGTATACCACCACAAGGTACAAGAAGCTCAATATCTCTGAGGATTGGGAGAGCAGTCTTCTTATGGAGAGGAGGAAGTATACCTTCCCAACATCATGCTCACATCACTAACACTCCCCCTGTGACAGAAACATACCCATTGTCTTCAAAACACACATGGATAGGTGTACACATGCCTAGGGAACATGGTGGCATGAAGATCGGATCCCAGTTTTCTAAACGTGGACATCGACTGGGTTGGATGCCATATGAATGTGGCTGGCCATCATGAGAATAGACTTTGGGGAGAGTCATGAATGAACCAGCTTTCGCGGATGCTCCACAGCCTGGTGTCCTGCGTGAGACCAAGAAGTGCATTCAGTGCAGAGCAGAGGCCTGGCAATAGAAGATGAAATTCATTCAGAAAGCATCATGGTGTGTTTATAGAGGACTCTCCCAGTTCTCCCTGCTCAGGGATATTGTGCTTCTTGTTCAGTCAAGTTGTTCATTTTGGGTTACTACCACCTAGGTTGTCCCTTCTCATCATATCTTAGTGAAAGGTTGCATCAAAAATTGAGTGCCCACTAGAAAATGTAGTAGAAAGCAATCAGATGTTTAATACTATGTGATATACAAAAAAAACAACCATGATATATGATCTGACTTTGGAGAGTTAGCACTATAGCCTTGTTTTTAAAAACTTTCAAGGACAAACATCACGTCAACACTATTTTTAAATATAATGACCCTTTCATCAAGTTTTGAAAGGAAATAGATTCTTTGTTAAAACAAAATATATATAAAAAGATGAGAGAAACTCATCCCTACCTTTAAGCCATATGCATACACCTTGGGTCAGACAATGTTTGAATTTGACAGTCGGTCTGATGTTGTCATTGCACTGTGCAGTGAGTGAAGCAGGGAAGGCCATAGAGACGTGTAGATGTTTTCAAATGCTGTCAACCAAAGGTGTAGGTAAATGGCTGATGGATCCTCTTATATACTAAAGGTAGCAATGGGTTTTTCTCATTTTGTTTACAAATACATAATTTAACAAATAATCTATGTCCTTTCACAACTTGATGTATCAAGGTGATAGTTGTCCTTTAAGGTTTCTTCAGACAGGAACTAAACAATCTGAAGTCAAAGGTCAGTCAGTGGGTTAAAGGACCACAATAGTGCCAGGAAAACAAACTAATTTTCCTGGCTCTATAGGGTCTTTGGGTCCCCGCACCCTCTGGGTCCCCCTCCCGCCAGGCTGAAGGGGGAGGAAGGGGTTAATCACTTACCTTTTTCCAGCGCCGGGCTCCCTCTAAGTTGGGGACTCTCCTCCCTTTTCTGACGTCAAGAGCCGCGCACGCATTCAGTCATTCCATAGGAAAGCATTTCTCAATGCTTGCCTATGGACGCTGGCGTCTTCTCATTGTGAAAATCGGAATCGGAAGCGCCTCTAGTGGCTGTCAATGAGACAGCCACTAGAGGCTGGATTAACCCTACTGTAAACATAGCAGATTCTCTGAAACTGCTATGTTTACAGCTGCAGGGTTAACCCTAGATGGACCTGGCACCCAGACCACTTCATTGAGCTGAAGTGGTCTGGGTGCCTATAGTGGTCCTTTAAGATCCATGAAAACAAACTGATTTTAAAAAGGGGTTTTAGGTGAGCTTTAATTGGGATTTAAAAATGGTTCATCGGATTGCCAAAGTATGTTTTACTTAATCAAACAGGGGTAAAAAGCAAAAAGTGCTGTAGTGAAAACTTAATGCATCCTTGATTGGAACTGAGTACTTAAACAGCTGTGATTTCAATTATGTGAGGGTTGGGTTATCTTCCTAGAGACATAGCAATAGTTCTCAGTAAGAGCAGATATATTAATTGATAGGAAAAGAATAAAAGACTGCAAAGGAAGTATAATGAGAGCGCTTACCAACAGATGCATAAACAATGGATATACACAGCAACTGCAAGATTTGGGGCTGGTCATAACATGATTAGAAAATGTATGCACTGACTAGTAACCTAATCTGCAAAAGCTTTAATTTTAGATTTAACAGATACACATTTACGGCCCCAGCATCAATAATTTCTAATAAAGCACAATGACAGTAAACCAAATGAAAGGGCTCTTATCATGAACTTGAACTGTGAAGCCAAAAGCTGTTTATCAACAAGACACACACCATAGCAAGTAGAGTTTAAAAATAGCTCCGCTTTGAAGCATTTCAGAACACAGCTAGCAAGAGACGAGGCAACACATAGAGTTAACTGGTGTATACAAAGCTCTGACCAAATATGGAGAAAACACAGAGTGTATGCAAATCAGCAGCCGTCATTCACAAAACACTGCACGTCACTTCATCCTACATCTAATTATCCTTTCAACAATAAAAGGAGAGAGAGGGGGAGAGATTGAAACATAAATATATAAAAAGACAAGAAAATCAGAATCAGATAGCTATTTACAGCTGGTGTGGAATAGAGGGGGGAGCAAAATGCTGCTAAATTAATCATATCCCACTAAAATAGCTTTTATTTAACCATATCTCGGGTGTGTGGGTTGTAGAAGAAGAAGGAAGTCAACAGCAGTTTTATTTAAATGAGAAAGCTTTTTTTTCCCCATCTTTCATTCTTTTTTTATATTCTGCAGTGATTTCAGAAAACTGCTCACACCTCCTCTATCCAAATCCTCGCTCTTACTGTAGACCCATTTTGTTTCAACCACTACATTCATTTAAAATAAAATGATTGAATGTGCATGTGACATCAGCATTCTAGTGATCGCAAATCCTTTTGCCATTTCTTATATAATGAGAAGGGTATAGCTTGATAGCACGATGTGTGACATTGTATAATGTTCTATCATTATACAATCATATTAAAATTAGCATTGTATAATAATGTATACAGTGATTTGTATAGATGGCTTTGCAAATGTCCGCATAGCTACAGAAGACATCCCTAGATAGCCTGTATGTTAAACCTGAAAAAGCACATATATATCTTTTAGAAAAAGAAGCATTTTCATGTTTCTCTGCAATTCTCCCTAAATTGGGTACAAAATGTGATATTTGGCTCTTTGCTCAAGTCTCTCCTTCTAACCTCCTACCCTCGCCCCCCTTTCCCTCACACTACCCCCCTCCTCTCTCTCTTTCCTCTCCCGTGGCTCAGCGTCATCTGTAAGAGATGATGACGCCCGCCTGTAATAGCAGAGAAAGGCAGTTCCCTAACCATGCAACCCATTGATGCTAAACTCCACTCTTCTCCCTCCTCCCCTTGCGTCTCACCTGCCCACACACTCTTCAGTTACTATATAAAGAGAGCCACAAGCTACAGTTCTTTAAACCAGAATCGAGAGACAGGCATCAGGGGAAAAAAAGGGACACCACACTGGTGGGGAAGAAAATAGAGATAGTGAGACGGACGCCGAAGACGAGAAAGGGGGATCTCTGGACTGGCTTATCCTCAGCAACCCGGAGACCCCATCCAAAATGTATCGGTCTACGAAAGGTGCCTCCAAAGCCAGAAGAGACCAGATCAATGCAGAGATACGAAACTTGAAAGATCTTCTTCCTATCTCTGAAAGTGATAAAGTCCGACTTTCATACCTGCACATCATGTCCCTAGCATGTATATACACCAGGAAATCTGTGTTCTTCTCACAAGGTAAGGACTCAGTAAAGTATTATTGCAATGTCTTGTGAATGCACTCAATTGAATACAACTCCTTAGAATAAGATTGTAATATCAGTCATTGCAAAAGAATAAGTTACCATGGATCATCTTGAGTACAATATTCTTTATCCTTGGTGTCCTTTCCACCTGTTGCTACCAGTTGTTCTTTCCCCTATAGGTTTACCGACTTCTTGTTTGCTAGACATTTTCACAAACATGCAGTTTGTCATAGAAATAAAATTGGTGTGAGTGCATGAGTGCAGGAAACTACCTTTCCTCTACCAACATTGATAGGTATCCATGAGTCAGTTTTTGCTGCTTCTTCTTGCTGTCCATGGTGCTGAAACCTAGTATTTCTTACTCATGTTCAATCTCTCTCCAAGGTTCTGAAAACTCTAGATAATTTAATAACGTAGAGATATGCATTCATGCTCTATAATTATGTGCGCAAAGATAGTAATGAATTATATACACTGTTGTCATGTTAACAATATGACCAAGCAATTAAGTACATTTATGATCTTTTTTTGTCTACCTAACAGGTGAACAGGCAAAAGAACTGGAAGGTCTCCTCTCCAGTGAAGACTTACAGGATTTTATTCACAGCCTCCCTGGGTTCCTGCTCACATATACAAGTGAAGGAAAACTAATCTATGTGTCAGAAAACGTGACTGATCATTTAGGACATTCAATGGTGAGTCACCCATTCTCTATTTCACATCGCACTTATCAGCGTTCAATTTAATGCAACTGTTAGTAGCATATCAAAACATTTTGAGTTGATGATTGTGTGAAGACAACAATTGTCTGTTAGTGATCTCTACAGGAATTATAATCCTGCCATTAGTAGAGAAGTTTAAGAAGTTTTAAATAAAAATATTTTTCCAATACACTGATATTAAATACTGTCCTCTTGTTTTTTTTTTTCATTTAGATGTCATATGTAATTTGTAGTTAATTATCTAGAACAACTAGTTAGTTAATGAATTAACTGTAGATAAATCAACTGTAGTACCTCTTCAAACCTGAGGGGGGCTTGTTTAAGCTCAGTTCATTTTGTTACACTTTTGAGCTTTACAAAATGAGTAACATTGAGTTGGTGAGATTGACCATCTGCATAATTCCATAGTCATGAAATAAAATCTTGTTACAACAGATTGTTCAATATACTCTTGATATTTCTTTCCCAGATTGATTTGGTGGCACAGGGAGACAGCATTTATGATATCATAGACCCTTCTGATCATTTTGTCATGAGGAACCAGCTTGCCATGCCATCCTCTCTTGATAATGGTAAGTAATCTAATGTATGATATGTGCAGCTTTGCTGTGTACCAACCTGCCATTCAGGATTTGGACTTTCATAGATAACATAATGCAGACAGTGCCCCCTTTTAATGTTCTTTAAGTGTGTAACTTACAGTAGCAATATTTTTGTTAATAATATTATTAAACTAGAGCACAAGAGTACTAAAAAAATCTTGGAAATTCTCTAGTCAGTAAATTTGGAGAAAAAGAAAGCTAAAAAAACCCAACAACATTTATTTTAATTTTATTCAACTATAGCAGCTTAGAAGAAATAGTGTAAAAGGGAAAACGTGTGTGAAAAAAAATTCAATTATTTTAATGTTAATTTTTACAATGAAATGTGTCCTTCACAGAGCGAATGTTCAGATGCCGATTTAATACATCAAAGACAGCAAGAAGGCAGAGTGCTGGAAACAAGCTAGTCTTAATCAGAGGAAGATTTCAACCATCACCGGCTGGTACCTACTGGTCATCTAATCCAGTCTTCACAGCTTTCTGCATTCCTCTTGACCCAAAGCCAAGAGTAACTCATACTCATTTCCTGGTGGATTTCTTTGAAAGTCGACATGCAAAGGACCTTTCAGTGATTGATGTGCAAGACAGGTAAAGACTAAATCTAAATATTCATATTAATCTATGCCTTCTATAATTGTACTCTATTATATTGTTCTAAAGAATTTTCAATAATATAATAATGTTTTCTTCTTTTAGTGCCTTGCTTCACTTGAGTTATGAAAAAAATGAGCTGCTCGGCAAGTCATGGTACAATCTAATTCATCCTGAAGATCTCACCCACCTCTCCACGCAACATTACAGATTATGTAAGTTTCTTGTGCTGAAAATGGGTGGGGGTCAATATGCAGTCTATAAATGCATAACATGTAAACATGTAAACACCGTAATCAATGTTATTAATTTTTTACATTTTCCTGCAGTGAATGAGTCTGGGGAATCAAAAGCAGAAGTTGTTGTACGTCTGCAGAGACGAGATCATCAGTGGACCTGGGTGTATTCCCTCCTATTACTGGAGAACACTGAGGCCCCTATTATATCATATAATTATATAATAAGGTAAGCCTTTATATAACCAAATATTGTAAATGTCTAACATGCAAAATTAAAATCATTACTCATTTTTATTCATATGTTTTAATGTAAAAAATGCTTTCTTTTCAATAGTGAGGCTGAAGCCTGGTGCCTAAGACAGCAACTGACATCAGAGGAGACACCAATTTCGTTCTCTACTGGTGGTCCTCCCTCTTACCAGGACACCCTTCTTTCTCCAGGAGACATTTCAAGCCCAGACCAGGTGTTTACTCCTCTTGCAAATACGCCTACAAGCATTGGACAATCTTTTGAGTTTTCTGAGACTGTGCCAGTAAGCCCAGAAGATCCAATGATGGGTCAGAGTAGTGCCCCACTTGTAGAAGACACGGCTGCCACTGAAACACAATTAGAAAATCAATCACTCTTTACGCTCTTCCAATCAACACCATATGAACAGAGTTTTAGAAGAGATCAGCTTGGAACACCTGCTCCCAAAGACTTTACCTGCACTCCTCCTTATACACCACACCAAAATTTCTCTTTCCTCTTTGGGGCTTCAGAAAGTGCCAGTCAAACAACATCTGATCAAGACTCCACCACCCTTACACCAGAACTGTATTATTCTTACTGCAGCTCCCTCTATGAGAAGCTGCCCCCAACCCCAGACAGTCCTGGGGATGGTGGTGACTGCACTGTCATGACAGTACCTGAAATTCCAGGCCCATTATTTGTGGACTTGCCAATGCTTCCAGAAGGTTTAATGACACCAGAGACCTCTCCCATTAACCAGGCAATCTTCAACTATTCAGAACAAGAGAAAAGTGAGATTGATCTGTTGGTCAAGCAGATAGGTTCATTGGCTAATGTTTTTAGTAATGTTATCACCAAGGAAATCCCTTGTACAGATAGCATGATGTTGAGTGGCCATGGACTGGCATGCCGAAGTGTATCCCTCCCTAATAGTCTACCAGATGCCGATGTTTCACCTCAGTTACCTCGATCCTGGAAGAGTATCGACCTGTCTCTCTTCTTGGCATGTCAAGAGCAATCCCTCCCAGCCGGTAGCCACCCGGTCTGCAGCCTTTTTAAAGACTATCCTGATTCACCACCTTTTGTAGCCCAGGGGTCTCCCTGCATAACCCTGGATGAAGATGAAGTAGGAGGGAACCTCTCCACATCTCCATCCATGACTTCGAATGTGACGACTGATCTGTCGCCAGAAGAATGTAACTTCTTAGAGGAACTGATGTCCTACAAAACAGACCTTGAGGCAGGTGCCTCAGAGATTCCATGTGACCAGTTTAATGATGAGTTGTATCAACTCCACATTCAGCTGCAAGACGACTTCCAGCAAGGTGAGACACCACTGCGGGTGGACTTTTTCTTGATATGTACTGTTATGAAACATTATCGTGAGCTATGATTATTACGATAGTGAACTATAAAATGTCTAGGATAATTTATGACCAGTGATTGTTTTTTTCCAATCACAGCAGCCTTCACAAGTGATGGCTGTGGGATCAGCCATTAATCCATGGAGGCTCCCATGATTTCGTGGGGTTCTCCAAAGACCTCAGTGTTATGCTCTCATGATTAAGCAAGAGTACAGCACTGACATGGCTCCCAGCAAATGAAGCACTAGGAGATGAAGAACACCATAAGGAAGACAATGGTGGAGGCCACCAGTAAAATCTACCTTTCTCTGCATCCCATGGCCTGCGCACCCATATCAGATCTGTCACTTTCAGGCCTCTTTGCAAAATATGAAAAGGCCTCTAAAATTGACAGATCGGCTTTAACTATTATAGTTCAAAATTGAAATATGACCCTAAAAGAAAGGTGGTTAATGAATAGAAATATAAAATGCATTAACAAGTGTAATGTAAAATTTGGTGATTTAGTGACAATGCTTTTGTCTGCAAGTAGATAAAATATACTAATTCTCTTTTATCTTTTTTTTTTCTTCTACAGATGGAAGTGGAAAACCTTCGTTTTGAAATAAGTCTGTGACTTACTTCGATATGTATGGCATATTGTCATATCTCAAGCAGATTTTTTTCTGCCTTATATAGAACAAAATAACAAAACACACAAGAAAGGGGAGAAAAAACGACTTTCTGCGTCGTACATCTCTCCTGTTCCTCGCTAAATGTTTTGTTCCTTTTATCTCTTTCATTCTTCTGTTCTCTTTTTCTGGATTTTGTGCACGTTTAACATGATACAGATAGATATATCTTCTTTTTTTCACTTGAAATAAATGAAAAGCAATGGCCCATCCTTATGTAACTAGTGTTATGTAACCTGATTACATCCAAAATCAGGTTACAATTTTAAAATTCAACAGCTATTATAACATAAATTGATTATAAGTCTCAGACAATCAGTCTCACTTTAAAAGTGTATATTGAATTTCTGTTTAAACTGTTAAATCTTGTTTAAATTTCAAAACAACAGAATGAGCCATTGTTAAAAAGAACAACTTTTGTACAACAAATATGTCTATTTTATACAAAAAAAGGGGTTTGAAGAATTGAACAGAGAGAAAAGGTGGTTACGTAAGAAAGTTGTAAGTAGTCTTACATATGAAAAAAATGTATTCACTCGTAGTGAAACTAAAAAATGATATACGTATATTATTTATCTTTTTTTTTCTTCAGAGTATTACTTATGTGTTTTGCAGAATTTACAGAAGGAATTTGCAAACCAGAATTTAGGCATTTAAAAACAACAGTGAGTCAATCACGGTCTTATAGATGGAAATTGACTTACTATTTAAAAGTATCCCAAATCTTCACTAAGGTTGTAATCATGGAACACTGAGTTGTAGTGAAAAACCAAACTGCCAAATTTAGGTTAAAATAACTAAGCTGTAAATATAGCTAAGTGGAAGAAATTTCCAAATCAATACTTTTTTGCCAAAATTTAGCATTTCAGATGTTACTTCACTACCATGCGGTGTTTATTGAATAAACCTCTGTATCTTTTGAGAGCAAGATTGGTGACAATATAATTTTAAAGTATTCAAGCATACAAAAAGCAAAATTGAACCTTTCATTCACGTTGCTTTTTATATTATTATTATTATTATATTGTAACTCAATTTATTAAAAATATATAAAAGATATTTCTACAAAATAACAAAAAATGTAATATTAAATAATTGCCAAATGACTGGGATTACATTAATCTCAGAAAAATATGTTGTAAAGAAAGTATAAAGGTTTATAAAGAGAAGTATATTGATATTGCACTGTTCGCCGTCTTTCTCTCCTTATGTTAAAGGTGCAATGTGTATGAGGAAAGAGTAAACTCTAACATTTACCTGTCTCAATTAGATTAATCTCTCCTCGAGATATACCATGGATTTAACCTGTGAGTTGGTCCAATGGGAACTTGGAATTCTCTATTTGAATGTATCACTCTCCAAAAAAATAAATCCATAATTTGGTATGTCTAACATTCCTCATAGCAAGGCATGTATGATAGGAAGTCATCCGTTATATATCCAGGCACCCACAGATGTGTTAATAAAGTGATTGCACATTTTGGCACTACAGAGGCATAAATACTGCACTTTGTATATAAAGAAGTGCCAATGTTTGTCATCACTGTGCAAAGCTGCTTCTCATCAATTAGAACAGGGTTGTCAAACATGCGGCCCCCCAGATGTTGCTGAACTACAACTCCCATGATTCTTTCAATGAAACAGATAGCCAGGGAATCATGGGAGTTGTAGTTCAGCAACATCTGGGGGCCGCATGTTTGACAACCCTGAATTAGAAGAAAGTAAACGATCACAGAAAAATCACAAGAGGGCTTAATTGATATAAAATATGTGGGTATCTGGTCTTCATTGTATGAGAGTCCACTAGGCACATTGGAAATGTAAACTGAATGTACACCTAGATATTTTGTAAAATAATACAAATTATGTAACTTTTTGGATTGTTTAAAATTTGTAAGACATAACAGTTAAACGAAAGTAATGTTAATTTCATGAAGATACAATTGTCCCACAAGTCTCAATGTACCTTTTAAAAAAAATGGTAACTTGTAATATTGGATTTTTAGGGACACACAGCTAAACTGTGCCTTTTAAACTCCACTGAAATCGACATGTATATATTTTTGAAATTACTGCACCTTTGAAACCAGAAATTTTTCAAGAAAAAAACATTTTAACAGAAATGTTTGCCTCTATTTAAAATTCTAAGCTGTCTTATTTAAAATCTTATTTAAAAATATATATTTAACAAAATTATGGTGCTATGGAGTGCCATAAAAGATGACGTAGGATTTTGCTACGGATTAAGTATAAGGATATTTTTTCCTGAATTGCTATTTTTCAAAGTTTGAGAGAAATGGTGAAAATATTAAAACATTAACTGTACATTTGTAAATATAAATATTTATAAATATAACTTTTTCTAATGCCTATGAAACAGATTTGTGTTGGGCTGGTGATGTAAAGTCCCGATCTTGTAAAAAGTGATTTTTTTTTTAATGGAGATGAATAAAAATTAAATGAAATACAGGTTATTGTGTGTATTTTTTTATGGAATCATTTTCACCTTTTAAGAACAGAATCTGATGATTTGCAACATACACATACATTTATCCCAGCTTAACTAGTGCAACGTCTTCAAACATCAGTTTGTCAATTTCAAAAGCAAAATGGAACTAGTGAAACGACTATCAGAATCAGTCAACTGGGCCAGTACTCAAGAGTCATATATAAAGCACCTTTTCATTACATCACCAATCCTGCCTATTTCAGTTAAATGGTTGGATTTATATGAAGAATAATATGATTAAGGGGTTGTCCCCTGTACCTATGTTGTTCACTGCAAATAATAATAAGCTGGTTGCGCAAATTCTTAAAATTATTGCAGCATAAGGACAAGGCTTTGCCGGCAAGTTCCAAACCAATACATTATACTGCCAGTGAAAAATCTATAGCAGAAGAATATTTTGCCAGCTAGCATGCTATATATTATTGTGTGTAGCATATCAGTAGCATGCAAGGATTGTGGCCTGTCTGTTAGCAGGATACTGCATGAGTGAGGCAGGATGTATGAATTGTGCAAGGGTTTTGCTTGTTAAGCACTGTGTGGTTTTGTGCTTGGTCCGGTGGTCCACAATCTCAATGCTCTATAGGTCTGGAATAGTCCACTGAGATATTTCTTGGGAGATTGCAGTATCTAGACTGATCTGCCTGATGTCGAAGTGTATGGAAATGGCTGAGGGGTGAGATAATTCATTTAATGTGAATGATGCCTCTTGCTACGCAGGTCATTTTGATGTAGGTTGATTGAGGTTGAAAAAATTGAGAATTATGCATTTTGTAGCAAAATAAATAATTGTACTTGCCCTCGTGTCTAAAAGTATGTATATACACAAAAACCATATAGCACAGCAAAGATAGATATTTTTAAAACTTTGATAAGATCTTCACACATTTTAATTTGCTCAACATAGCACAGAGCCAAGTGTAAGTGCAAGAGGTTTGTAAATAATTTATAAATATATCACCCCACTGGCTCACAACTTCTGCTGATCTGTGCTGAGAAGAGCAGATTCATATATCCTACTCGTTAGTCATCTATTCCCACCACAGGGTAACATGGTAAGGGTTATTCACTTATGTCCAAATGACCCAGCCACAAATTAGGTAAAACCTGCATGGGGCGCCCAACAATGCAATATCTGGACATTGTTCACGCTATTTAAAAATGTCTGGATTTTGTAGAGGAGGTTTTGAATGAGCCTGGATATGGTCTGTATTTCAGCCAGACCGAATGCTGCCATACGCTGAAATCTGGACCTGGATTATTAAAATCTGGGGTCAGATGCTTCAAACACAGGAGTGCTAGCAGTCATTGGGCAAGTAGATAGTTAACCCTCAATTGCTGACCAGCACATGGTAGAAAGTCGCCACATTAAGAAAAAAGTTACAAAAATAATCCTATGGTGGCCTATGGTGGTCAGTATGACATTCATATTACTATGTGACCTCCATGCAGATATATCCACTAAAAATGACTAGTGATTGAGCAGCCACTGCTGACCAAGCACTAAAAGGGCCTCATCCAATGTGAAATCATGGGGGGGAGTGGAACCTGATCAAAGTGCTCTACATGCCAACCAATCAGAGTGCAACAATGGAATTTCAAATCCCAGTAAAGCCTTTATTGAAGTTTCATTTTGTGTTGCTCTGCACTGCACTGCACTGGTGAATTGACCCTTTTTTATTTTCATTAGTTGCATCAGAAATTGTGTTTTTTTATTTTGCCTTTTTGGGGCTGAGGAAAACTTGAAATGACACTATAGTCACCAGAACAACTACAAATTTATGTAGTTAATCTACTATGTATAGTATGTCCCTGCAAACTTTTTAATGTAAACACTGCCTTTTAAAGAAAAGGCAGTGTTTACATTATTGCCTAGGAACACCTCTAGTTGTATTCACTCTGACAACCACTAGAGGTGCTTCCTAGGTCAGTACTGTACAATGTTCAGACTCTTTACGTTCAGCATCTTCACGCTTTGCCTAGACGGTTCTCATAGAGAGGCATACATTCAATACATTTCTATGAGGAGATGCTGCAGCGCGTATTTCTGACACTATAGTGTTCCTTTAAGAAAAAAGAAGACCCTATTTTAGGGTGTAGGGGATAGGTACGTCACCTGCAGATAATGTGAGACACAAAACAGATCCCCCCTGCCCCCCTATGTAATAATTAGCCCTCACCTGTGGATCCCAGAAAAAAAATGCATCTGGACAATTGGTGCAGGTATGGTCAAAATATGGCAAATTTCAATGATAATAAGCTTTACTATTATGGTTGGAATTTGCCAATTTTCACCTGATTTTGTTTAGTGAATAACACGCAGAGATTTATTCCTACTTTGTTGTTATCTTAACATGTTAAATACAGATGTGGATGTATAGAAACATGGAATGTGACGGCAGATCAGAACCATTCGGCCCATCTAGTCTGCCCAATTTTCTAAATACTTTCATTAGCCCCTGGCATTCTCTTATAGTTAGGATAGCCTTATGCATATCCCACGCATGCTTAAACTCCTTTACTGTGTTAACCTCTACCACTTCAGCTGGAAGGCTATTCCATGCATCCACTACCCTCTCAGTAAAGTAATACTTCTTGATATTGTTTTTAAACCTTTGCCCCTCTAATTTAAGACTATGTCCTCTTGTTGTGGTAGTTTTTCTTTGTTTAAATATAGTCTCCTCCTTTACTGTATGATTTCCCTTATGTATTTAAATGTTTCTATCATATCCCCCCTGTCTCGTCTTTCCTCCAAGCTATACATGTTAAGATCCTTTAACCTTTCCTGGTAAGTTTTATCCTGCAATCCATGAACCAGTTTAGTAGCCCTTCTCTGAACTCTCTCCAAAGTATCAATATCCTTCTGAAGATACGGTCCCCAGTACTGCATACAATACTCCAAGTGAGGTCTCACCAGTGTTCTGTACAATGGCATGAGCATTTACCCCTTTCTACTGCTAATACCTCTCCCTATACAACCAAGCATTCTGCTAGTATTTCCTGCCTACCTGTCATCATAATTACCCCTAAATTCCTTTCCTCAGATGTTGATGCATTATCTTGCACTTATCCACATTAAATGTCAGTTGCCACAACTTTGACCATTTTACTAGTTTACCTAAATCATTTTTTCATTTGGCTAATCCCTCCATATATTATTGTAACCAGCTGATATTCACAATGTCAATCTGTGACTCAAAGCATTCTAGTAAGCTGTTGACAGCAGGGCTTTATAGCATTGCTTATTAGTATTTAAAAAGGACATTATTTGCTGTTAAAGTGTATTTATGGAACAAAATGTAATGGTTAAATGGTTTGTGGCTGATCCTTAGGTGGCTAAAAAGGGGTCTTACACTCCTTGAACAGTTTCCTATTATTTGCTACAACTCTGCCAGCGAACAGACTTAAAGTAGATCTGACTGAGAACTATGCAAAATTCCCAAAGAACACTGACAGTGACATCTCCGATAGGGGTCCGGTAGCCGGGGGGTCAGGTAAAGGTGAACTTTACATACCTGAACCTGTGCCACCTCCTCTTCTCTCCTGGTGCATCAGTATCTGATGTCACTGCTGTCCTATTGCAAATGCACAAGAGTGCAGCTTTGAGGTCTATGGAGGATTACTCACGATTCTAGCTTCCATAGGCAGGGCCAATTACCTGCAGTCATTACTGGTGAAGGCTGTTGGGATTGTCCAGGATTTGAAGTTCTAACCTGCCATCCCAAGTTCGTCCATAATCAATGCAATACTAAGATTGTGGATTTGGGGTTTTCATGAGCTGTAAGCCATAATCATCGCACTTATGACAAATCATGGCTTGAACTATCTTGCTTTGCATGTTATGCTTCTATCATATTAGTTTCCCCTTTTATGTTGCATTACTAAAATAATTGAACTTTTTCACGATATTCTAATTTTTTGAGTATCACCTGTACATATACTTAAAAGGGACACTGTGGGCACCACTAAAACTTCAAAGCATTTGATTGGTTTGGCCTCATTAATACGCTGTATTTTATGCAAGCTTGTTTTTGTGCAAAATATATTTTTTACAGAATGTTGAACTGTAGTCCTTACATCTAAGCCACATCCCCTCACACGAGAAAAATACTTCTTTATTACACATCACCCACTGACAGCACAGAGTAATCTGAACTACAAAGTAGACTTAGGCACAGCAAAAAAAAAAAATAATTCATTTTGTCCAAATCAATTTGTCTAGGGATCGACCGATTATCGGTTTTGCCGATATCAGCCAATATTCCGATTTTTTGTAAGTATCGGTATTGGGCGATAATCACCAGCAATACCGATTATGAATGTGTGGGCTGGTGCATCCATAAGGCGGCATAAGCGGCCACCTTAGGGCGAACCGGCCTGGGGGGCACTAGATCGGCGTGACCGGCAGGAGGTGAGCACATTGCGCTCCCTCCTGCCAGGTACTCTCTGTAGTGTGGCCGAGCGAAACAGTGCACACAGCGGTACAGGAACTTAGGTTTCCTGTACCTGGCCAGACTGAAAGGAAGTGCTCACTGAGAGAGCACTTCCTGTCAGTCCAGCCGGGTACAGGAGACTGAATCTCCTCTACCGCGGTGCACAGTGCTCTGCTCGGCCATGCTAGGAGACACACCGGGGACCAAGGAGGGGAGGAGAAAGAGAGAGAGGGGCACTGAGGGATGGGACACACACTATGGAATCAGAACACTATGGGAGGGGGGAAGAACATTATGCAACACTATGAGACAGGGGAGGGGGAGAAAAGAACACTATGGGACAGTGAAGGGGGGTGAAGAACACTATGGGACAGGGGTAGGGGGAAAGAAAACTAGGGGGAGAGAGGAACATTAAGGGAGGACACTAAGGTACAGGGGAGGGATGGGAAAAGGAACACTGAGGTGGGGGGGACAACTAAAAGAGAAGTGAGAGGAACATTAAGGGGAATGGGGGAGTTCCTACCGTACATATTTACACACTGCATCCACTACACAAACACACACATTGCATCCACTACACAAACACACTGCATTTACTAATCAAATGCTCTCACTGCATCCACTACACACACATATATAAATATTCTTGAAAACATTTAAAAAAATCTGACAGGCATATACAGAATATCAGTAAGCTATTGGCTATCGGCCTGAAAGTTCACAGATGATCGGTATCGGCTCTAAAAAATAAATATCAGTTGATCCCCAAATTTGCCCTCAATTTTTTTTTTTTTAGGCATTTCAGTTCATTCGAATGTCCATGCAATCCTTTTGGGAAAAATTATTTAGACAAACCAAAGTAGCAAGAAAATGAAAGTTCAGAAATGAATGTTCTGGGTCTGTCCCCTAATTAATTTTTTAAATTTTGTGTATATTTGGAATCCAGACCAGATTTCTTTAGTGCTAAGCACCCTGTCCCTCCTGGGGAGGATATGGGACACAGACCTTTGAGATAAAGTGGTCCGGGTTCCTATCGTGTCCCTTTTAAGGGTGAGGTGTGGTAATAGAAAGCATTCAGGAAATTCATTACAGACTGCAGAGAGGCAATGCAGGTACTAGGAAAGTCGATGACTATTGAGTTGCAAAAGTCGTCAGAAAAAGTGTGTGAACATGTGCCCTGGTTGTATCTCAAGTTAAAAAAGTGCAAATGCGTGCAATATTTTTAAGGTGGGATTTACAGGATTTGAGACAGACTGGATGTGAAAAGAAATGGAACAACCTGAGTAAAAAGTCATTCCAAGGCAGTGAGTTTGAGGAGTTAGGGTAGTAAGATGAGGAGTTCAGTTTTAGACATAGAGTTTTATTTACATTTTTTTTTTTTAAAAGTCATCCTTTACAGATGGAAGTGAGGCACAGTGTGTGACACATTTCAGGACGGCAGGGAAGAGATAAATCTGAGTATCGTCTGTAGGAAGATGGTATTAAATTGCAAAGAGTTAATAAGGTTACAGAGAGAGGCATTGGAAATGGACAACAGAGAGGCATGGAGAGGAGGTGTCCCCAGAGAAGTATACACTAAATGAGCATTCCAAAAGGTAGTACGAAACCATAAGAGGACAGGAACATTCTTATTCAAACCTTCCACAATGCTGAAACCATCCACAACTGGCAAACAGTATCAAATGCAGTATGAGGTGGAGGAGGCTAAATATAGAGTAATGACCTGTATATTTAGCAGAGATTAAAAAATGAGTGAATTTGGTAAGGGCAGTTTCAGTAGACTGGAGTGGGAGTAGAGAGTCAATATTGAGTGAGTGAGTTAGATGGATAAACACAAGCCATTTAAGAAGCTTAGAAGTAAAGGGGAGTAGCGAGATAGAAAGGTAGTTAGAAGAAGGGTCAACATATGGCCTTTTTTTCTTTTGAGGTTGGGATTGACAGTTTCATATTTAAAAGAGAGTGATGTGCCAGAAGACATAAAGAGGCTGAAAATAGGACTTAGGGATGGAACCAGACTAAGGTAAATAGATTGGATAAGGAAAGAAGGAAGGGTGATCAAGAGAACATGTTTTGGGGCAAGAGGACAGAAGTTTAGAGACCTCTCGTTCATAGACAGGGAGGAAGGAGTTAATAATGTTAGAGAAAACACAATGAAAGCAGAGTATTAGAGTGAAGGAGGAAGGGGGGGGGGGGCTGCATTTCTAATTTGGTGACATTCACATAGTTTAGAGGTAGTCCCATAGTTAGAGGTAGGGTTGCAGTGGGCCGTTAAAGGTATGACAAAGGAGTTTGCGATCATGAAAGTAGGTGGAGAGGAGAATAGTAAAATATTCTTTCTTGGCAATGGAAAGAGTGGGAGTACAAAAACGTAGAATGAATTTATAATGTCAGGTGTGGTGTGGGACATTCTACAGTATGGGAATATTGTTGGAAATAGCGGGTGAGTTTGCTTGACAGTGGTAAATGCGTGCAGCCACGTCGAGAGTGGTAAACAGGACATAATTGTAGTATGAGGTAGCTTGAAAGAGGAGAAAGTGAAGACTGAAGAGAAAAAGTGACACAGATCAAGAGAGCTCAGATTTATACTATGCAGAGATTAACTAGATTTAAATGTTGAGTGAAGTGCACATTAACAAGAGTGTAATTCTCAGTATTAAGAACACTAAATATGACTAAATCCCCTACTGCATTTCCAAACTTGCAAGGAACCTCTACTATGCTTCACTGTTCACTGCAACGAGCAAAAATAATTTTGAGATAGGAGTGTAGATTGAGTTTCTCTAAGCTTTTGTCCGCTCTCAGAGTTCTCATATTCTTTGTGTTTGCTTCAATGCATTAACTTGGCTCACCCCAAAGTTAAAAGGCTAATCTAGACGTGGACTCAGTGCTCACTGTGCATAGAGAGGTATCCGCTACACCTCACTGACAAGGCCCAAAGAAGGCTGAGACGATAGTCTGGGGTTGCTATAGCTCACGTGCAGAGGGAACTTGCTGGCATTTTGGTTCTGGACTGCCCGTACGGGTGAGACCTGTCGGATATGCTTCAGATAGGTTCTCTCTGTAATGGCACATTTGAGCAAAAATTATTTTGAGATCTGAGTGGGGATTTACCACAGGGCAAGCTACTGAGTTTCTCTAAGCTTGTGTCCATTCTCAGAGTTCTCCTATTCTTTGTTTTTGCTTCACTACTCATTCTTGTACCGCTGTCCAGCCCTTCAGAGAACAAATTGCCTTGTGATACAGCCAAACATACTCATACTAACTAACCTACTAACTCATCAGTCCAGAGCTCCTGCTGACAATTTCTGAACCCTAATGCTTGCATTTCCGTTTATAGTTGAGGCACGTGAACTTGTTTCCAAGTGAGACGTTTTGGCTTAAAGTTTTCTATGAAGACCACTTCTGACTTGAGTTCTCCAGAGAGTAGATGGGTGTACCGGGCTCCCACAGGTTTCTACCAATTCTGTGCAGATGCACCTTTTGTCTTGTTGCAGGGCTCAGTCTTGCCATGGTGTATGACTTTTGACATTTAACCGCTGTCAGAAGCCTCACAGTGTTAGAGTTTGACTGGTCCTAATCGGTTTTATTCCTCCTATACGCATAGTTGAGACACGTGGACTTGTTTCCAGATCAGACTTTTTGGCTGAATGTTTTCTATGAAGACCACTTTTGACTTGACATATTTTGTTAATGGATACAAATAAACATTTTTATTTTTACTTTAAAGAATTTTAACACCTGCCTAAACCAGGTGTTACGGTACGGTTTGGTACATCTGACTCCTTTGGAATTTCAAATAAAACTATCTTTATAAAAAACTTAAAAGTGATAGTATAGTATTTTGTTAAAAAAATTTTTTTTTTTTTAAATACATCACATAATAGTTTGGTCAAATGGCTTAAATTACATCAGTTAGTCTTAACCCCTTATCTCTAATGGTAAATACGGTTGGGATGTTTCCAGAGTCTTTAGGTCAGATTGTAGGGGTAGAACAGACTCCAGAATGACGTCTTACCCTGCATTCCATCCAACCTAGTCTTCTCACCAACACTTTAAGAAGGAAATCATTCTGAAAATTAGAAAAAGGCATCAGCTGGCTGGCAGCTTTTATTTATTGGAACAGAAAACACTAACATATTCTCCATTCTAAGCGGTCTCTGGAACACAAGTCCACATTTCCAATTGCCAGTTCCATTTTTATACCTAAAGTAATTTGCCTCAAATAAGGAAAGAGCCCTTTGTGTCCTTGGGAAATGCAATAAAGTTCAAAGTCATGTCATTTTGGAATTATTTCTTTTTCATAGTGACTGCTGCTTCTGCAAGTTGAGCTTCAGCTGCCGCTTGAAGAACAAGGCGCCGCTCTTCTAAGAATTTTCCGTATTCCTCTGCCGATAAACTAGAGAGAAACATAGGAAAAGACTGATGCATCTGTAGATGTTTTTGCTCACTAAAACACAACCCCTCTTACAAAACAAAAAACAGAAAATGAATTAAATGTGGAGCATGGACCCCAGGCACAGAAGTTTTACAGCAGACCAGGGCACTTTGAAATCGGATTTAAAAATAAGTAAATTTTAAACACATTTTGTATTTACCCTAATTCTGCATGTTTGTCTTATTTCACTTTGCAAAGACACATTTCTGCTTTTTGTGTGGAGGCCAGGAAAATTAAGTTAAATGCAGATATACTAACCTGAAGCTCTCTCGTAGGTGCCACCTTGTTCTTTCTTCGGCTCCTAGCGCTTAATCCACCAGGAGTATGTCACTGCTATACTCTCATGCACAAGCAAGAGGTCTCTAGTCAGGATTGCTGGATCCTCCAGAGATCAAACTTACGCACTGCATAAGAAGATGCCTCTTTCTCAGAACTATTGCTAGCTATGACAAAAGGTGATGGCCGATGCTTCGCCTTTTGCTAACCTCCACTTGGTCCCACAAGTCCCTACTTTGTCTTATGACATCTTTTGTGAAATACTCACATTGTTTGTCTGACAGTTAAGTATTTCCCAAAAAATATTATCTTACTTATCAATACTTATGAAGTGAAAGAGCTGCTTTAATCCAAGAGACAGCAAGTAGACTTGCTGGAAAAATTCTGTTATATTTGATCAGGCCCTCCTCTATGACCATTTAAGTCTGGCATGAGTGTGACAGTCACTCATAAGAGCCTGGTTAGTGTGACCTTCTAGAAAAGCCAGATACTTGTTTATTAGAATATAAAAAATTTTAATGTCAGGACTGTAACCGCTGAACCATTTTATGCAATAGTAAAAAGCATAAAAAGTGTATATTCTTTATGAATCTAAACTATGAGGGTGTTTCTCTCTCTTTCCCTCTCTCAAAATGAAAGGTCTTATTTTAGTTTTACATTTTTGAGCTCTGTTGACTCATTAGTGTATTATAAATTGATGTTTTAAACAGCAATTATTGTACTTGCCCCTCTTAAGAACTATATAGCAGAATACAATGGGGCTACACTTTGCTATTGTCAAAATTAGCCAGATATCAATAAAATGACACAAACTTTTATGGCTATTATAGCTTGACCCAGATTTAAGACCACTACGTGATACAGCCATTGTTCAAGTCATCAGTCACTGTTTGTTAAATTATTACTTGAAAATTTGCTCAAAATGTATTCAAGGCCACTTCGTGAGAAGCTCATTGTTCAAACATTAGTCACTTCCTTGTATTATTACATTAATTAATACCAATGTGTGACTTTTGGTTAACCCCTACAACTTCAGATTGAAGCATGTCCTGAGCTTATGAACCCTAGACAGCTAGAATTAAAGGGTTACTCCAAGCACCATAACCACGTCAATGATTTTAAGAAGTCAAGGTGCAAGAAGCCTGTATATGCAACGTTTCAGTATAAAACACTTCACATACAGTGCTGTTTAGGCTAGCTGCCAGAAGTGGGACACCACCTCAGTTAGAATCATTAGCCAGCCCAGATACTTCTGTGCTGGCTAATGTTAATTCTGTGCATAGCTTTCATTGGCTGAGAAAGCCAAGTCAATGCATTATTAGATGGATTGGCATTCGGCTCCTGCAGGTGTCAGGTGCTGGTTAGCGGACATTCAAAGGTGGCTTGGAGCCTAGTGGGTCCCAGGTAGGAGGGTAAACAGTTCCCACCTTTAAAAGAGAACACCACCAAGGTACTACTGGCATCATAACCACTACAGCGGGTGCCTTAGTGTCTCATATTGTTTCCTTTTCTCTTCCGCTTCCAGAATCAGTTCTTATTTTCTGATCTATTTCTGACTACTTTGTCTAATTGTAATGTAATGTAATTTTCCTATGCTTGACAATCTTCACAAAAGGTGGAGCTAAGGGCAAGGGTTTTAGCTCCACCCTTTATCAATATCAGGAAAAATACATAAAAGACAAAATAGTACCTAAGAAAAGTACAGATTCTGAAAAAGAAAGAGAAAATGAAACAGGAGAAGTTTCAGGGTACTATTATATATTGGTGCTTCTTCAGTTGAGATGGACAACCCTCTATACCTGGTGTACAGTGCTTAGGAAGGTTGCTAGTGGGGAAAGCAGAGGTTGAAGATAAAATTTACCTAGAGCCAGGAGCATTGACCTGGATTCCACGTAAATACTTGCTACAGGTTCTGTGGGAGAAGGGTGACCCAATCGTAATGCCCGTAAAGCATTGTAAAGAATAAAAAAAAAAAAAAATTGTATAAAAAGATTGGTAACCCTTTATGAAAGAATGGATGGGACACACTTTATGCATAAAGCACCTCAGCAAGCTGGTTCCATCCAAACTTAGCTCAATAACAAAAAAACAAAAATACTCCATAACACAAAAATACACACTTACTCTTTAACCACTTTGATGCCCAGTGATTTGGCACTTCCCAGAATGCATTTCACTACTTCTTTCAAAGGCAAATCCCGCAGCACAAAACACTCATCTTTTGACTTCACCAAAGCTATCTCATATAGCTGTTTCAGGGTCACCATTCCTGCCACCTCATGACCTAATGGCACAAGAGAAGAAACCAAAACGTTATAGATTTGTGAAATAATCCTTACATAAGCTGTGCTGATGTTTAACGGTTTGTTAAAACCTAATTTAAACCCTTAACGTCTGCATGATGGTCTATGCCGTTATGCAATGCAGAGCTTTTACTGCCTGATAATGGCATAGATCGTTACATACATTTAAGGTATCACCAGGGCTAGATCCCTGCTGGTACTATGAAGCACCAGGTATCATTCTGTACCTGTGCCCCAGACTGACAGATGAGCTGTGTTCAGTGCTTCAAGCGACAGCTGCACACAGCCCTTTAAGTCCCTGCAGCTGTTCAGCATATGTGATTAGCTTGGTATCCATTTTTTCTGCTTCTAGGGAAAAGAGTGAAATCCCTGGGTTCTAAAAAGACCTGATGGGTCTACATGTACGCTCCCCTGCCAAAGTTATTGGTTGTGCCTTCTACCTAGCACCAGTGTGATCGAAATGGACAGCATGCAAAGGCTCTCTCTCTCCTTCTGCATCACACAGCACAAATCGTTCTGCCCTGTGCAATCTGGAAAATCCCTCTGCTGATGTCAGTACTACCATCAGCAGAGGTTATCCCTCTAAGGAAGAGGTACAGTTACTGTTAAAATTAAGGTTAGGTTTACAAATAGTGGCAAGGCAATGCTTGACTCTGCTCAGTATGGTAATACAGTATCCTAACTATGTCAGCAAAGATGCATGCTAGGGCATGTCTGTTATTTGACGCTACAAGTCCCTCAAACATGTGGTTGGTGATAAAATAATTAAAAGAAAAGTGTCAAAATGCTGGGAGGCAGACCTACTTTTATGTAGTCGTTATTCATTTTATGACTATTAAGAGTTATAATCTCAGCATGCCAAATTTTGAGAAGGTTTAGAGTTAACTCAAAACTTGTTCAGTAACTACAGAACAATTATTGCAATCCAAGGCACACAGGACTAATTAGTGAATCTAAGTTTTTTTTTTTTTTTTTGTTGCACTTGTGCAGAAATTATTAAATTCAAAAAGGAGAAAAATATTTTTGTCTCCCGCCCGCCAATTAAAAAAAATATTATATTCATATTTAAATGTTGATATGTATACAAAGTGCATATCAAACGAAAGTCATATTCTGAAAAAAAAAAATGTTTTATACATTGCTGTTCCTGTAAAGCAGGAAAACCCCCTGTGAAACGGTTCTCATGCTCTTCCCTTTCAGTTAATTCCTGTTTTCCATAGCAGTCCAGAATGTAATCCATAAATCCCAAAATTGACTCAGATAGAGTATTATTATTATTGTTGCCATTTATATATCGCCAACAGATTCCGTAGCGCTTTACAATATTATGAGAGGGGGGATGTAACTATAAATAGGACAATTACAAGACAATTTACAGGAACGATAGGTTGAAGAGGACCCTGCTCAAACGAGCTTACAGTCTATAGTGTACTGATTGAACGGTTAGGGAAGGTAATATTTTCTCATTTAGGCTTCTTTAATAATATGTATTTACTAGCAATTCTAGTAGTAAAATGAATAGGTGCCATTATATGGACTTTCCTATAAAACGTGACGTGTATCATGATGAGTACACATGAATGTATTGCAAACCACTGTAAGAAATACCGAACACACATACAAGTGCCTTGCAACATACGCACAGAAAATTACTAACAGCTAGTGTACATATGCACCTCACTGAAAAGGACAAAAAAAAAACTGCTTTAACATAAAAATTCCCATTTTCTCAGATTCCCTTCTCACCTGTCTGGGATGCTCCTTTTTCTATCCCAGCAGCAGATTTTAGAAAATATGACACCGGTGGCTGACCAATCTTCATTTCATAACTCCTATCTGGCTGTAAAAGTGAAAAACATAAAGTTACAAGAATGGAAAAATACTATTTATTTCATATGATTTCTTTTATGCTATTTAAGCAAAGTTCAAGTCGACTAAAAAAATGAGTATGTTCCACAATTAAAAACTTATACTAAAACCATGGTTCTTATAGACAAGGAGGACTCAAAATTGGGCTCAAAGCAGGTTTTCAAATAGCTGACACAGGCACTTCATTTTCAGTCTCTAGATAACATCCAAATACATTTCTTTCATTTTTTACATTTAATGTTGCTACTGCTGAAAACTTGGTGCCGAGACAATTTTTTTAACTTGTACTTTATTTGTATAAAGACTCTCAATAGGGAGTCCTGGGCAGGAGAGAGACTAAAGTAATAGGAAAGGAAACCCTACCTTTATTAATTCTAAGGAATGATAGGACAAGAGAAAAAAAGGACTCAAGTGTTGTCACAAGGGGGGGAGATGTGCACCTTGGCGTGTTGGCACGCCGTCGTCAGGAGCAATGTTTGAAAGCCAGCTAGACTCCCAGTAAAAAAAAAAAAAAAAATTAAAATTTGTTCAATGGTACTATCAAAAGATTAGGGGCAATGCCATGGGGACATCGTGTGCCCTCTCCTATGCGAACTTATATTTTGGAACATGGGAGAACCACATCATGAAAGATCCCTCTCTACAAACCTATTTTGAGCAGGTATACTTTTGGAAAAGATAGATTGATGATATCTTCGTTATAGGGCTAGGGTTTAGTGGAGACTCTGAAGAATTTATTAAACTCCTAAACGTTAATGATTATAATTTGAAATTCACAAGTGAGATTGGGGGTAAAAACTTCAATTTATTGGACCTAGCGATTTCTATACAGCGTGAGGGCAAGATTGTTACCATGCTGCATCGCAAAAAGACAGCCTAACGGCTTGCTGAATTGGACCAGTTACCATGGTTGGTAGGCTGGTATCTCTATAGGGGACTTCAAAGTCAAGGCATGGGACCTCTGGAAATCCTTCAAAGAGAAGGGTTATCCCAATAGAGTCTTGAGGAGAGCCTATCTTAGAGAAATCAGTGTGGATGGGGATTCTTTTCTCACAGACCACATCTCAGCCCCCGAGCCAATCCAATATGTTGTATAGCGACGTACGCGACTGGCTGGCCAAATATGATTGGTTGATTCTTACCTCTGATCCTCACATAAAACATGTCTGTAACGGAATGCCTGGCACCCCGACTGGGTACCTTCCTTTGACGGATGCTCTTAGTGCTTCCCGAGGACTCCAAGCACTCCACCAGACACAAGAAACCATAACCACCGCAGCTTGGTTGGGTTCTCGCCGTCTTCCACCCACTCTGGACCCAAGACCAGGGTCCAGCTTCCAGTAGGTAAACCTCTCTTAAATCCAGAGAGCAGGAACAGGAACAAGCTCTTACCAGAGCTTAGTGATTATACCCTGGGGAGTATAGTGATTATAGCAATCTCCAGAGTGTAGTTCTCCAATCCCCCAAACATGAGCCGAAACTTCATGAAGGTACAAGATGATCTGTTTAATAGTGGCCATAGCTTGGCCTTTTATGCAGGTCCTCCAGCAAGGGATACTCCCACAGAGACCTTGTGGAGGACTGGAATACAATTAAAGCGGCACTGTCATGCCGAATCCTGTTTTTTTGTTTAACCCCCCTCCACTATCTCTAACTGACACCCTAGTCACCCCCAAATGCCCCTAAGCCCCCCACATTACCTATTTTTTTATTCCTTATTTTCTGCCACGATCTTTATTCAGGGCGCAGCCATCTTTGTGTGGGTGGATGAGTCCCTGTGGGACACGTCATCTGCCCACACTAGATAGACTGTGAGATTCCCGCACATGCCCAGTGAAACACCTGGACATGCGAACGGGAATTTCATCTATTCATTCATTCATTCATCAACCAGACAGATGAATGAATGAATGAATGAATAGAAATGTCAGACGAACAAACTAACACTCCCCCTATCTTTATTTAGGGGCCCCACCTGCCACTCAGGGGTGGGGGCCGGAGGGGAGGACAGTAGGCCCCACCCCCCTATCTTTATTTAGGGCCCCCACCAACTGCCACAGGCTGCTCACTGCTTACTAGACATGCCCCTACTTGCGGTATATTATTTACTAATACAAAGTAATTTTTACTTTGTATTAGTAAATGTGGCTGAAAGACCAATTTAGGTCTTTCAGCCTTTTAGTAGGTAACTCCCTGATACCGTGGGAATTAGGGAGTTATCTACTAAGCGGCTGCAAGATGCAGCCACACCACTAATAGGATCGGAGTTTCATTCATTAAATGAAATTCCGATATGAACAAAGTGGCGAATTGCATTCTAAAACAAACGAACATACTGTTCTCATTCAGTTAGAACGCAATTCGGCAGTTTTGTGTAAAATGACAGGAAGCATTGCGCGATCACAGAAGAAAGCTAAGAATCATGGGAAAATTGCTCTGACCAGCGGAAATGAAGCACACTTTGCTCCTCTGCTGGTCAGAGCTGGTCAAGCGGAGGAATCCTCCATAAGGCAAAGAGTCCCTACTTTGTCTTATGATTTTAAAGAAAACTAAAGAAGACTGGAAGAAAAGAAGAACAGATCCTGAGAGAGGGGGAGAAGAGGAAGAGATTGAGGAAAGGTAAGTTCGGTATCACAGTGCCACTTTAAAATATAATACAATGTGAAACACTCCCACAGAAACAGTAAACTCCCTTCCCTCTATCCTGGAGATAATTGACTTAAGTGGCCGTAGTAAACTTAATTATCTCCAGGTACAGAAAATATCTCAAGTTACAACTGCAACAAAATACATAACTTATATTTCACAGAACTGAACCCCCACATTTGACATATCCTCAGATAGCTTGGATCTGAGCGCTCAATATATCCGAACAGCGCTCAGATCCCACGAACATAGTCGAATTGCCATGGGGTTAAAGTGTTTTCACCGACCGTTCGGCAGAAATCGGTCCATAATTAGGTCCATGGCTTTTAGCTATCAGGGTCGGTCTATTTTCAATGTCTACGTTCCGTTTGAATGCACGAACGGCCCCTGTTCATGCAAATAGCCCATGTTAAAGTGGTGTTCGAACTGTCGAACATCGTTCAACTCCCGTCGAAGCTCCGGAGAAGGTAAAGTTCAGCGGTGTCTGTGCCATCGCGTGTCTGATTTGAGTTCCGTGAACTCGATGAACAAACACCGCTGAATGCGTTCGACTATACGAACGGCGGCCACCCAGTCGTTCGTCAATCTGGCTGCGGTTAACCACAGCTCCTGGGAGGTAAATGAGCTGCACACTCCACTTGTGTGTGGTCTGGCAGTTCGAAGTTCCACTTAGAAAGTTTAAAGGGGCATTGTGCCAAGTCCCAATATGCCCAAATAGTGTTCTTAAAGGGCTATATAGGGGCCCCAAGGGCTTTAGTCACAGGGCAGAAGGCTGGCAAGCAGGCCTCTCCAAATTCCGTTGACGAAGGTGCTTTTGTCACAATGTTATTACACCATTCCCCTCTGTAACAGCAAGTTAGGTAGGAATTTAAGAAACACACTGGTACCGAGCCACTTTGTACCTTTGAGTAAACCTTTAACCCCTTAAGGACCAAACTTCTGGAATAAAAGGGAATCATGACATGTCAAACGTCATGTGTCCTTAAGGGGTTAAAGCAATATCTACCAAGGGACACTTATAAATGCGGCCATTGTAGTGCTTGCACTTACATTACAAGGGAAACCAGAAAATTTTCAGACAGTGGGGAGGAGGAGACATTTCCTGTTCGGTTCCTTTTTAATTGTCGTACTGAGTGAGTAATCTATCTACTGACATGCTCCTGTGGGATAAAATACGTCTGTAAAACCTTTTGTCCCTTTAAATTCAGGATTAGGGAACATGTCAACTCAGTAAGAAGACCTTTGGAGACACCCATCACACGCCATCTGAAAGCACACCATGCCAATTCCTCAAGCAGAATTAGGTTAATGGATATTAAACGGATTCCACAAACTTAACGTAAGGGCGATTGGGACTGTAGGCCAAGACAAAGAGAATCCTATTGGATATACAAACTTAAACCTCTTTCTCCACAGGGACTAAATGAAGGATTGTTTCTTAGCTTTTGTAGAACTCTCGACAGATTATAACATCCCGGAGGGATTTTACCCTACGAAATCGTTATCATATAGTCTACGTTTCAGGACTTTCTGAATACTTGTAACATATCTAAATAGATGTGTGTATTATTATTTGATCTGGCTAACCATTGCTTCTTTACGTCTAAGACATTTTGAACATCCACTAATATGTAAATGGTTACCCTAAGGCAAGGCATTTCATATGGAATATGCAGGGCATAACAAACCCACGGTGACAATGCGCACTACCCCTGATACATAGTGATTTGACCCACGTTTACATGGGGACCGGGATTTGTTGCCCTCTATTTAGGAACCAATACTTACCCTATTGTTTCAAATGCACCAGCTTATGGCCCAATCTGTTTACTATAGAAAGGAGAAACAGAGAGGAGAAGAGAGAAAGCACCTTTTCCCCCTGTAGTCCTCATTTCCATTCTGATCAACTGCGGACTTTTGACCATCTCTAATATCTATCCACATAATATGAGGGCCGATTTACATGCCCTTAATGCCTAAATAAGTGGACTTATAGAGATATCACATGAAGGATGCGAGGATAGGTTTACATGCCTCCCGGTTTAAGCCAGAGGTATTTACTTTACACCTCGGAGCAAAAAACTCTAGGAGGGCAGGGACCAACACACCCCTTCAAACGGCCCACTGATGCAGAATATCGGCCCACGTGGGCTAGGACCAATGTGGATGCTTAGAAGGCGTGTTGGACTATCGACACACACCCTGAGATTGCACACCAAACAGATCTAGAGGCAACCAATAGAGTATAAGATGGGCATGAGGACACACACCCTACTCAGGAAACGCCTCACACAGGAACAGCTGTAAGCTATCTCATACGGATTAGCAGCGGTATATTTACTGGGAGTCTAGCTGGCTTTCAAACATCGCTCCTGATGATGGCGTGCTGACACACCGAATCTGCATGTTTTTTTTTTCACTAAACTTGGTAGCACTTTATTTATATGCACGATAATTTTCATTTATGATTTAACTTTTTGACTAAAGACCCTGGCAGGGAGAGTGGTTTAGGCAAGCACTAGTGGTTAGCCCACGGTGCTGAGGTATTATAGGGAAAGACTTATTGAGGTCAAGTTTATGTTAGTGGGGCTTTGGTCCCCCCTATCCTCATCTTTACCCCTACACCTCTTGCTATACCTGCTTTCTTTCTGCTCCATGTTTAATTTTTTTCATTAATGTGCAACATTGTGGTTCCTGTACTGTGTTAGTCTTTTAAAACTTAATGTGTCTCAATCGTGGGACCCCCGAGCAGTATCTTGTCTCTCCCCCTTATGGCAACACTTTAGTGCTTTTTTCCCTCTTCTCTTGTCCTATCATTCCTTAATAAAGGTAGTTTTTCCTTTCCTATTACTGTAGTCGCTCTTCTACCCAGGACTCTCATATATTGTGAGTCCTTATAAATATAACTTTTAAACATATATTCAAGGGTTATTCCCTCTATTTAGGAGATTGACTGCACCATTGGAAATATCCACTAGCCGTAAATTCTCTCTTGGGGATCTGGATTATTTCCTCAATATCGCTTTTCTTCCCGTTTGTATTTTATTTGAATTTTCATAACACAATACAGAAACGAAAAGAAGAAAGTAAAAGAAAAAGTAAAGTGAGCATTCACATGACCAGAACTGGAAGCGTAGTTAAGCGAACACGCAGGACCCCTACAGCATCAATTAATGTTGTAATAAACAGTATCCAGCTTTCTAGTACTTGCATTATATAAACATAGCACACATACTACTGAGAGCCTGGTGTAGCACTGACATTACTTTCGAGCACAGGACAAGGAAATGTCACATATTATGAAACCTATTTGAGTATCAAACTTATACGAGTAATTACCTAAGAGCCTTGTCACTCGACCACTTAATTACCAACCTCCCCTCTGACCCCCCCCCACCCTCTTAATGGACCAGCAGGGCACATAGCCCACTCAACCCTCCCATTATCCCCCAGTACAGAAACTGAGACTACACGGATACTAAGGACAGCTCGGGTGTAAGTGTATAAAATCAAATTAAAGGATCACAATAGGGTCAGGAAAACAAACATGTATTCCTTACCCTACAGTGTTAAAACCACCATCTAGCCCCCCTGGGCCCCTCATGCCTCCATAAATATAGCAAAATCCTACTGTATTCAAGCCTGAAGCTGTAACTCTGCATGCTGTTTGCCTCAGAAAAACGAGCAGTCTGCTGACATCATCAGAAGTGGTAGTCTGATCAAATCACAGTGCTTCCCCATAGGATTGGCTGAGACAGACAAGGAGGCAGAGCCAGCATGATTCAAACACAGCCCTGGCCAATCTGCATCTACACACAGAGATGAACTGAATCAATGAATCTCTATGAGGAAAGTTCAGTGTCTGAATGCAGAGGGAGGAGATACTGAATGTTTGGATGCATGTTAGGCAGCCATGACCCAGGAAGGATCTCTAACAGCTATCTGAGGAATGACCAGTAAAGTTATCAGTAGGTTGTAATGTAAACACTGCTTTTTATCTGGAAAAACAACAAACTTTGTTCGCATTAAAGCGATTATCAAATGATTTACCAAAAGCAATATTTGGTACTGATACACTAGTGAAGTGAAGGAGGATAAATCGATCGTGCAGAAACTTACCTTAACAAAAATCTTAACTGGAAGAGGAATGCCTTCTTTAATGTCTTTTGTCTTCTCATTGAACTCCTTGCAAAACTGCCCGATTGGGATACCTCGCTAAAGTGAAGAAGAAAGAAAACAAAACCATAGAATAGTATTTTTTTATTTTTTTTTTTAAAAGGTTTATTAAAATTTAAAGATATGCACCACAACCTCTATTACCCACATGAGAAGGATTAAAGGAACACTACAGTGTAAAAAAGGAAAAAAATATCACCATATATACACATTCAATAAAAATACACTTGCATTTAATTACTAATTTTTTCTCTAGGTGTATACCTAAAAACAGCTTTCAATAGCTTCATACCTACTCTACCTGCTGTGGTAGTTATGGTTCTAGAAGCTAGCTGGCGCTGTTTCGCAGTCAAACCATTTCCCAATTGTTTGATAGTCACCTGAATTCTCCAAGCACCTCCACAACAGCTTCCTTTTCTGATATTGCTAATGTGGACATTCCCAATTCAAAACTAGCAACCTGAAGACTGTCTTTATTTCGACAGGACTCAATAGATTAAACTATCCATTGAATCTCTCCAACAATGAATGTTATGTTTTGTTTAAATAGAAATAAAATTTTGTCCTATTGCAGAAACGCAACTTCCGCATTATAAATTTCAAAAAAAAAGAGGGCCGCACAAGGTATACCCACAGAACCTAGGTTAGTGTCAAGCGACTATTTAGCATGGGATGGCGCCAGTGGATATCGAACAATGTATCTATCACAATAGGCTGTAGTGGTTATGGTAACTAGACTGACCCTCTAAGTATTAAAGAGTTCTGCCAAAAAGGTTCTTAGCCAGTGAAGCACCTTGTACATTAACAATCTTGTTAAAAAGGTAAGCAGGGCCCCCATGCATCTTCACCGGTGTGTCTCTTTTAAATTTCTTAACTCCTTTTAGGTCTCTTACTTCCCCCATGTGTGTCTTTTACACCCCTTCAGCCCCTTTGTGATTTTTTTCCCCTTCTCCAGCCCCTGTGCATTTCTTTCTCCCCTTCCCCTAACTCCTCTGCGTTTCTCTACCCTCCCAACATATTGTCACTCCCTTCCCCAGCACTTTGTCTCCCTTCGAGGGCACCACTTATTCAAAAGCCTAATAACTTACATAAACCTACTGCCCACCCGCTGTTAGGTTGAGTTAATAAACAGTTGTAATAAGTTGAGAAAATCTAAGTTTAGTCAGAGGATAACGTGGATTCTGTGCACCCTACCAAAGTCTGATTACTATTGATCCACGTTATCCTCAGTCTAAACTTATTACAACTGTTTATTAACACAACCTAACAGCAGGTGGGCAATAGGTTTATTTTAGGCATAGAAGTTATTAGGATTTTGATTTAGGGGTGCCCTCGAAGGCACAGAATAGGGACTAGTACTATGTGTGTTTATCTATGCTAGAAACCCTCCTTATTATCAGCTACGGCAGCTTGCCATTAACCTCCACTCTATATTGCTAGTGATACTATTTTCCCACATCGATACAATCTGTACCGTCATAACTGTATCAAAGACTTAACTGCTACCTATACAGTTACCAACACGTAACGTACATCGTTACAGAAATATAGATCTCGTTCTGAGACAGGTGATGAGTCCATAAAATTTGCACACAATTAACATAAAAAAAAATAGTGCATTACAAGCCTACCGCGACACTCTCAATTTAGTTCAGTTAAGAGGCTCGACAGCCAAGCAATGAGCCTCCTAGAACAGTATAGCAGCTCCAGCTACTGGCACTGGAGCTCTATCGGATTTAATAATTCACGATAGTAGCAAAATAAGTGTTCTTTATTAAACTGAACAAACAATAATGATTGTGCTTGCTACGTGTAACTCTATACACTTGAATTTTAAGAGACATCAAACTAAGGGTTAACATTTCATCTATATAAACAGCGATCCTGGCTGCAACTTTATCTCTACCACGCTTTATTTTCTAAGTAGCAATAGAAGGGTTAATACAAGTCCAACTACCAACAGTGATCTTGGTTGCTACTTTATAGTGCATAAACTCTATCAGAAGTGCTAGAAAGTGAAGGGTTAACACTAGATTTCACTCTTCCAACGATCCTAGTTGCTACTCTACATTTAAAACAACCATAGTTGTTGACTTTTTTTATGGTGAAGGCATTGATATACAGTGGGACCTCGGTTTACAAACGCCTCGGTTAACATAATTTTCGGTTTACAAATGAAAATCCATTGAAAATAATGCCTTGGGTTACAAATTTTTTTTGCAATACAAAGCAAGTTTTCCCAGGAAGCATTGCACCTGGGAGGTTTACAGCACCGCCCCCTGCATGCTGGAGCTTGTGGGTAGCACGTGGCGTCGAGTGTGGAGGTGTTGGAGTGGCTTTTGCATTGAGTTTTGGAGCCATTCTGGAAATTGTTTGCAGTTGTTTTGGGACTTTTTGGTGCACTTCTCAAGCTGTGGAAAGGTAGGGAGCTGAGCTTTGTCGTTTACATGCCTTTTATTGTGTGTTCTGCATTGTGGGTTGGTTTCCATGCCAGCTCATTTTGACTTTTTTCTGAACTCCAGAATGGATTAATTGGTTTCCAATGCATTCCTATAGGAAACTGCATTTTGGTGTACACATTATTCACAATAAGAAACGTCACAGAGAACGCATTAAAATCGTAAACCGAGGTTCCACTGTATATCAAAGCGAATATTTTAATTGTCCACATCTTCAACTGTAGTGGTCTATCTAGCCAAAGATCCTCAATGTTAATGTTCTTGTAGCTGCTGCACTTCACAGTCAAGCAGCAACAGCAGATAAATATGAATCTGCCAACCAGGAAAAGGCACAACCAGGAGCCTCTCATTCTACTCTATGAGATCTGATCTTATCATTGGAACTACTGTACTACAGAGTTTTATTATTCCATGCAATCATTGGTACAAAACGACAGTGTTGCATATGATGATCAGTATTTAAATGATACTCTACACATTTTGCTAAACTAATAATGGTTTTTGCACTAATTAAACGACATAGTGCAAGTAGGTGTGTAATAATTATTTATAAGGCAATTTTTTTTTTTTTTCTACCTGCCCCAAGGTGGGTCCAAGTGGTGGTCCTGGAGCTGCTTGCCCAGCTCTCACAAAAGCTCGTATCACACCAGCTGTAGTAGCTTTCTTTACGGTTTTGACGGCACGAGAAGCTTTAGACATGGCTAGAAGAACGCAAAAAAAAAAAAAAAAATTGATATCATGACTGCATGACCTGAATCAGATTAATCCAAACACTTTTATTACCAATGTCATCTATCACAAATACCACTATATGGTCATGTAAGAATGATTAGCCAGGCAATCTCATTTCTAAGGCGACTAGCACATTTTTGTTAAAAATGCTTAAAAAAGGCACATCCATCCGTACAACCATGTAAAGCATAGCTTACCATTTGTGAGTAAATTTAATCAATAAGGGCAAGTGCATTTGTCTTTTTAGAGTATTCCTCTGACAGATAATCTAACACCAGGTTATTCTCCTTTACAAAACTAATAATACAACAACTTTTTTTGCTGGATCAAAAACAAAATAACTCATTGACATCTTCTCTAGAGACCCATGAAACTACATGATGGGGAGAGAATCATGGACTTACAATGGCAATTTTCAACATTTTGAGTATGCTGACCCTCTTTAAACTCATCGCTTTCTGATGACACCATATGCAATTTTTGTCCCATGGTCCATTACCTTCCACCTGGTCTGTACCAAAAGCACTTTTTAATCAAATACCCAGATATTCTATCTTTATTCCCCATCAATGCAAAGCGCTCTTCCTGTCTCATTTATTATGCTGTGCAGACTCTTTTCAACTGCTTTTCTCACCATTCTGCCATACAACTTGCTCAACATTTCAATTGTTTTCTCCCACCTCTACATAGTTTTTAATATACTAAAATAACTTGCTGACAGCCCCATTAATATTTCATATTGTGAATACGAAATATTATATATATATGGATGGAATCGTCCGATATAAAATTTTAAGGGACGATATTGAATATCGTGGTGGGGCAGCCAGTGGTGTATCCTGGTTTTGTGCTGTCCTAGGCAAATGCCTTGTTTGCCTCGCGGCTAATACGTCCCTATTAGGGCTAATAGCGATCTATAATAATTTTTATTGCCTCCTCCCTGCCTTTTACCTGTGGCCAGGGAGGGGGACATTATTATCCCTTGTGGTCTAGTGGCTTTGTGTAAGCTGCCAGGGGTTTCACATTGTAGATGGGGCAGCCTGGACCCAGCACACACTATGTTTTGTCCTCCCCTTGTGTGTTCCTATATAAACAGATGTGGACTTAAATAAAATATGTATTACTTCAACCAAATATTATCTTGTGTTTAGGGAGAGATACCAAAGAGCTATTCAACGATCTCTTAAGTGAATGGATGAGTGTAGTTGAAGAAAGGAGCAAGCAAAAGGACTCCTGGACATTGCTTCACAGAGTCTTGCAGACATATTGAACGAATGTAGATGCAGGTTCAGCTCTGGTCCTCAAGCCTGAAACCTGTCCCCCTGTTACAACTATCAATCATACCAGTGACACCCTAACAAAAACTACCATTCACGCGCACGCGCGCTAGCTTTCTGTGTCTGGGACATAAGTCGTTTAACCGAGATCTGACTCAATTATCTCCAAGACTCAGAGCCGCCTGGACGGCCTTGTGTTATATTGAACCCATCTTTTTGAGGGTATACCATCAATATGCCAACTAAACTACCATGGGACTGTCACTAATAGTCACAGGGTTGTCACTGTAAGGTGTTAGATGCATGCCTATTAGACTACCAGGGGACTGTCACTGTTAGATGTATGCCTATTGAACTACCAGGAAGCTGTCACTGCTAGGTGCATGCCTATTGAACTGCCAGGGGGCTCTCACTGTTAGATCCATGCCTATTGAACTGCCAGGGGGCTCTCACTGTTAGATCCATGCCTATTGATCTACCAGGGGGCTGTCACTGCTAGATCCATGCCTATTGATCTACCAGGGGGCTGTCACTGTTAGATCCATGCCTATTGAACTACCAGGGGGGCTGTTACTGTTAGATCCATGCCTATTAAAACTACCAGGGGGCTGTCACTGTTAGATCCATGCCTATTTATCTACCAGGGGGCTCTCACTGTTAGATCCATGCCTATTGATCTACCAGGGGGCTGTCACTGTTAGATCCATGCCTATTAAAACTACCAGGGGGCTGTCACTGTTAGATCCATGCCTATTGATCTACCAGGGGTCTGCCACAGTTAGATGCATGCCTATTGAACTACCAGGGGGCTGTCACTCAAATTTTTAGGAGAATGTTAAGTAAACTACCAGGGGGCTGTTATTCAAATTATCAGGAGAATGTTAAGTAAACTACCAGCGGCTGCCGCAGTTATTCGGGTACATGCCGATATAATTACCCGGGTCCTGTCATTCACAGTCAGTATTATGCCAACAGAACTACAAGGGGCCAGCTTGCCCGGTGTGCCCCCTGCTCTGGTCAGCTGTCTCCATCTTTGGTTCTTCATATCATGTTCTCTGTAAATAACCATAAACGGCTAAGGCCTACCTCACAGCAGGAGTCCTCGGAATAAAGTGGAACCCACAGCCGCCTCTCTATACCCAGCGACCTTCACAGAAACCATGTGAATACCTAGGCCGAACCCACTGCTTCATTCTCTCATCCCATTGGTTGATTTCGTGTGAAGCAGTTTTTTTCTGCTGGCTATTTGACCAATCATCGTCATTTACTCGATTCTATGAATGATTGGGCGTTCCATCTATACTGAGCGCTGATTGGTCGACCTTCCCAGCCTTTCTGAACAGAGGAAGCATGTCAGGTACTATGTATCCATATCTGATGAATGGAGCACAAGGCCCATCACTCTGAGCCGACCAAAACCTGTGATTTTTACATAACTGGGTTACTGCAACTGTCCGGGGGACCGGCAGGTTTGCTATCAGGAATAGCATGAGTTCTGGACTGTAGTGTTGATGGGGAGGTTATATTGCCTTGAAACAGAAAAATGGCAGAAAACCATAGAAAACGGGCCATTAGGTTTAGTGACTGTATGCCAACTGTTTGAAATTTAACATTACATGAATTACTAATTAAAGGCAGAAAAGGGTAAAGCTCTATTGGGAACATTTTCCCACCTGAACACTGAAATTTGATTTTGACATCAAAGCTATGACTAAAATCAGCTAATGTTTTCTACATTTACAACATGTTGTTTTGTTTTTCTTCAATAAAAACAGGTTACATAGTTACATAGCTGAAAAGAGACTTGCATCCATCAAGTTCAGCCTACCTCACATGTTTTTGCTGTTGATCCAAAAGAAGGCAAAAAAAACCCCAGTCTTAAGCGCTTCCAATTTTGCAGGTCAGTATTAAGTAAAAAGAAAACTACTTTGAATTCTAGAAAATTCTCACTTGAGTAAGTAGCCCTGAGCTAACATGGAGGACTTTTCCAATTTTGCCTTCTAAAATTTAAAAATGTTGAATTCGCAACAGTCACACTTTAAATTGAAAGTCAGTTATTTTGAATTTACACCATTGAAAGTCACCTTATAACTTGCATTAAGGGATCAATGCAATGTTTTGTGGACCCAGGACAGAAAACAAAAGAAATCTCAATGTATCTTTCCTGGTGAAATATTTTATAAATAAAATAATATAATAAATTACTCCAACCCGCACTATAGTAATTAAGATGATAGGAGTAACCTTGCGCTGTTCCCAGTAATTGGGCAAACTGTTTTACAACTATTTGCTCTCATATCTAGTCCTGTGCCAGGTCTCTTCTGTAGGCAGATTTACAACATCTTGCCTCGTATTTATTGCCTGAGATTATGAGCTGACTACTCTCAGCCAATGAATGACTGTGTATGCATCGAAATTTGTATAGAACTTACTTAAAGGACCACTATAGTGCCAGGAAAACAAACTCGTTTTCCTGGCACTATAGTGCCCTGAGGGTGCCCACTCCCGTGGCGCTGAAGGGGGTGGAAGGGGTTAATCCCTTACCTTTTCTCCAGCGCCGGGCTCCCTCGGCGCTGGGACTCTCCTCCCCCTTCTGACATCACCGGCTGAAAGTGCATGCGCGGCAAGAGCCGCGCGCACATTCAGCCAGTCTCCTAGGAAACCATTTTCAATGCTTTCCTATGGACGTTGGCGTCTTCTCACTGTGAAAATCACAGTGAGAAGCGCCTCTAGCAGCTGTCAATGAGACAGCCATTAGAGGCTGGATTAACCATTAGGTAAACATAGCAGTTTCTCTGAAACTGCTCTGTTTACAGCAAAAAGGGTTAATCCTAGAGGGACCTGGCACTCAGACCTCTTCATTAAGCTGAAGTGGTCTGGGTGCCTATAGTGGTCCTTTAAGCCAGCCCGTAGGTCTTGGTCATTGCTGGCTGACAATGGTCAATGGCGCTGCCAGAGTTGGAGCATGGTTATACCTCCTGCAGCAAAGGGGTTAAACTCAGTATATGAAGCATTTTACAGAGAAACCCCGCACATACAGATTCCAGGCACCATGATCATTTTTAAATCACTGAAGTGAACACAGTGCTTGGAGAAATCCTTTAAACTTTTTTTTTTTATTCTAGCTTTTATTAAGATGATATCATAATACAAACCACAAAATAGTACCAGCATGTAATTTCAACAGTTCAACAGAGTTAGAATCATACAAAGTGAAAGTTGTGAGCAATCCTGGTATCTATAGTGACATCTCATTTTATGTATTAAACAAATCGACAATAGCATGGGTTTGTTGGAAACATTTATACTTAAAGGTACACTCCATGCCCCCAAACCACTTCTGCCCATTGGAGTGGTCTGGGTGCCACTACCCTTAACCCTGCAACTGTAATAATTACCTTTCAGGGTTAACTCCTCCTCCTCTACTAGACTAGAGGGAATTTCCTGCTTCATTGTTTTCCTGGCACTGGAGAGTCCCTTTAAGTTTGATTAATTAACAGCTCAGCTTAAAATAACCAAAACATTTACTGGGCTATACACTTTGCTTTTAGGTTGAATTCAATTTGCTAATAGCCACCTGGAAACATTCAGTATTTATTAGGCATATAATTCATGTATGATATAAAGATTAGTTGAGAGTGCGATTTGGTGCTAAAAACTAAAGAAAAAACAGAAGAGCAATATATAACATGAGAAGCAAAATACTGTCTCTGTCCATGCTAACCAAGGGGTAATCTCTGATGAGGTGAATTATGAGTCCCGTAGTCCCCAACAGGTCACCCCACCTGCCCCAGACTCTATAACAATCATAGTTTAAGCCATGTCCAGCGATCTCAAGATCTGCCCCCAAAGTGCAGCCAACTGTACAGATTGAGGTCTTCCTGAGGATGTGAGCTCTGCAGAGGGAACAACCCGTTCTATCGTGGCCTAGGTGAGTGGCAGTGAAGCTTGGAACTGGCACCCCGGTATCAAAACGCCTGCCACAGTCTTTTCTTCTGCTTCTGCCCTGGCGATGTTGTGTTAGGGTCACTCAGAGCAGGCTGTGCATTGCAGCGTTGTTGAAAAGGTTGAAGGCACACTATAGTCACTGGCACAACTGCAGCTTAATGTAGTTCTGGTGAGTATAGTCAATACCTGCAGGCATATCATGTAAACACTGTATTTTTAGAGAAAAGGCAGTGTTTACATTGCTGCCCAAGGACACCTCAAGTGGCAGTCATTTAAATGGCCACTTGAGGTGCTTCCTAAGGCAGTGCTGCACAATACAGTATTGACGTTCAGTGTCTTCACACACTGCATGGAGACGCTGAACTTTTCCCATAGAGATGCATTGATTCAATGTATCTCTAAAAGGAGAAGCTGAATGGCTAGGGCAGTGTTTGGCTCCGCCCCATTCTGCCTTCTTTTCTGAGATTATCTCAGCCAATCCACTGCTTTGGGCAGACCTGCGCGGCTCTGGGAAAAGGTACCTTATTAAGGTGGGGGCGTGGTATGGGGCTAACAGGGTTATTAACACTATAGGGTCAAGAATGCACGTTTGTGTTCCTAATCCTATAGTGTTCATTTAAGGCCGGGTCAGTGTAGACACCTTTACTTGCTGGCTTAGTGTGTCCAAAATTGCAACCACAGTCTTGTCCCAAATTGCAACCACAGGGCCTGTGTGAGCCGCTCCTCATAGGAGATCAGTGACATGGGGTCATATAGAGATGGGTACCAGGATGTCCCCCACCGGTCCAAAGATGGGTACAGGGTCTAGAGACGGGCTGGAACAACTCAGGGCAGAGGATCAGCTGCTTCCCAAACCCTGAGTGCGTACACAAGACTATCAACACTGGCAGCATTTAGCGTGGCTACCAAAGCTCATCAGACTTCAGGCTTGTTATTCCCTGATATGCAAAGCAGTCTCAAATGTCAGTTTCAAATGTTTAAGTACAAGTTTCCATGAGGAGCAGCAGCTACATCTGTCTTGGTGTCAGGTCTCACAACCCCTTAACATTTTTTAATGAAATGCTCTGTTTTCTTTTAAATTTATGTTAAAGGAACACTATAGGGTCAGGAACACAAACACGTTTTCCTGACCCTATAGTGTTAAAACCACCATCTGGCTCCCCTCCCTAAATATAGTAAACTCTTACTTGTATTCACGTCTGCAGCTGCTGGCTCTGCCTCTAAACTGCATTTGACCTCTCACGGAACCAGCACAAGTCAAACACAGCCCTGGCCAATCAACATCTCCTCATAGAGATGAATTGAATCAATGCATCTCTATGAGGAATGTTCTGTGTCTGCATGCAGAGTTGGGAGACACTGCATGTTGTGATGCATACTAGGCAGGATTGCCCAAAGAAGCACGTCTAGCAGCCATCTGATAAATGGCCAGTGGAGTTATAACTAGACTGTAATGTAAACACTGCATTTTCTTTAAAAGAAAAACAAAAAAAACGTGTTTGCAGCAAAAAGCCTGCAGGGAATGATTATACTCACATGAACAAATTCAATAAGCTGTAGTTGTTCTGGGGACTATAGTGTCCCTTTAAGGATTTAGCAAATTACATCATAATCCAGTTTAGACAAGGCAATGTCTAGGCAAACATTGCTAGTGAAGAGGAGTAAGAGAAACCGTGTTTCATTTTTCTTCCTCAGTGTATGCCATGGCAGTGCTTATATGATTGATAGGGAGTTAAGATGAAGGCGCCCAGTCGCAGAATAGCATACCTCCCAACATTTCAAATGTATAAAGAGAGGTGTGTGAGTGATGGTGTGGGCAGGGACTGTTCTTAGAAATTTTTGGTAACCTGGGCACACCCTAATCCCCGCTCCCCCCTATGGATTGAGACCGGCAGGGGAGATCTCAGGATATCCCCTGTCAGCTCATGCAGAGCCGGTGCTATCCAAACGCCGGCTCTGCTCTAAGCCTCCATGGACCGGTGGGAAGATCAAAGATCTACCTCACCGGCCCACAGCAGCATGGAGAGAGGCAGGAGAGGACCCGGGGAGCTCTAGCCAGCAGCTCTGCCGAGTTCCTCTCACAAGATCTTAGCGTTGCCAGTGGGAGTTATGGAAAATTGGGGAATTTACTGTTCAAAATATGCCTTTTAAAATACCCTGGGACAGGGCCGGACTGGCCCACCGGGATACCGGGAAATTTCCCGGTGGGCCGTCGGCACCTGGGGCCGGGCAGACACCTGGGTCTGCTGGCGACCGCTGGGGAGGTCTTCTGGCGGCCGCTGGGAGACTTGAATTGGCGGCAGCTGGGGGAGCTGCACTGGCTCTGCTCCCCAGCGCGCAGCTGAATGAGACCGGCGCCGGAATATGATGTCATATTCCGGCGCCGGTCTCATCCAGCAGCGCGCGAGGGCGGGAGAGCAGAGCAAGCGCAGCCCCTCCAGCGGCCACCAGAAGACCTCCCCCAGCGGCAGCCAGAAGACCTCCCCCAGCGGCCTCCAGTACAAGTCCCCCAGCGGCCGCCAGCAGACCTCCCCAGCGGCCTCCAGAAGACCTCCCCCTGGCAGGTATTAGTAATGTGTCAGTGTGAGTTTGTCTGTCTGTTATGGTGTGTGTGTCTGTCTGGCTGTGTCACGGTGTCTGTATGGTGTGTGTATGTCTGTCTGTATGGTGTGTGTGTGTGTCATTCTGTCTGTCTGTGTCATGGTGTGTGTGTGTGTGTCTGTCTGTCATGGTGTGTGTGCCTGTCTGTCCGTCAGGGGTGTGTGCCTGTCTGTCCGTCATGGTGTGTGTGTCTGTGTCATGGTGTGTGTGTCTGTCTGTGTCATGGTGTGTGTGTGTGGGTCTGTCTGTATCATGGTCTGTCATGGTGTGTGTGTGTCTGTCATGGGGTGTGTATCTGTCATGGTATATGTGTGTTTCTGTGTCTGTCATGGTGTATATGTGTGTTTAAAAATAGTGTTTTTGCTCACCTTTTTTTCCCCACGCAGCATGCTGGTCTCCCCTCGACTGGCCCTGCCTCTATAGCTGAGATCATCAAGCTTGATGATCTCAGCCAAGCCAAATAGCTGCAAAACGCCACTCCAATCAGCATCTCCTCATAGAGATGCATTGAATCAATGTATCTCTATGGGGAACGTTCAGCACCTACAGAGTGTGGAGGCCCTGAATGTAGGTGCACTAACACAGGAAGCACCTCTAGTGACCGTCTGAGTGACTGTCACTAGCAGTGTCACTTTGAAGCAATGTAAACACTGCCTTTTGTCTGAAAAGTCAGTGTTTACGTTGAAAAGCCTGTAGGGACATGCTATAGACACCAGTACCACCACATTAAGCTGTGTGTGTGCGTCTGCTAGTGAGTGAGCTTGCTTGCATGCGTGTGCCTGCTAGTGAGTGAGCTTGTGTTTTTATGTCAATGAGCTGATGTATATCAGTAAGATTGTTTGTCTATGAGGCTGTGTATCAGTGAGCTTGTGTGTGTCATTGAGATGTCAGTGAAATTGCCTGTGTCTGCATGTGAGTATGCTTACTGTATAATTAAACGGTTTACCCTGAAAGGACCAATATTTTATATTAGAAAAAACAATATATATATATATATATATATATATATATTACTCAATCATCTGTCATGGCAAGACATAGCCTTACATATTACACGCGACAATATATGGCGCAGTGACTTATGGGGCTGGCACAATTTTTTTTTCCAGGGCTGCTTTGTATCCCCAGTCCGGCCCTGCCCTGGGATGTCTTCTTTAAGAAATGGTATGCTTTATGGGATAGTTGGTATATATAGCCTGCTAAAATACTCTAAAATGGGACCTGGACAAAAAACTGGAATGGCAGTGTCTCAAATGTGCCCCTTCAATATCCACATATACCTTGCAAAGGTACATACAGGGGTATTGCTGTACTCAGACGACATAGCAGAGCAACATATGAAGTATTATTCAGTTGTAGCAAACATGAGGTTTGCAAAATATACTGTGCAAACTCATTTTGTGTGTCAAAAAGGCAGAAAAAACACTTATTACCACTACACTTGGTACAAGCTAGCGGAAAAATGATCCCACACTTATGGAATAAAAAAGTGTGGATTTCTATATTCATTTTATGTTTCACACATTATAAATACATATTGTTAAATGCCTGGATAAGTAAACATAAATATAAAAATCCTGAGAAGTGACAGTTCCCCTTTAATAAATACCTTGTGTGAAATGCTCTTTCTGCTTAGCATATACATTTACTGGATGCAGCTGTTTTTCTGCATAATCCTCATATACTGGGGAGTTTGAACATTAGTTTCTTTGTGACTTTGTGTTTAGAGTTCATGGTCAAGATCACATTAAAAAAACAAAGTTAGGGACTGGTACTTGTGAAAGGACAGTATGCTAGGCAGTCGAAACGCTTAACCATGGACTGATTTTTATTTAAGTTTAATTAGGCTGCCAGTTGGATTAACCCTCTCAGTGCTGAGGGGTTAAAATAAACTCACTATCTTTGCATTATTAGGAATTAACTCCCAACTTTGCTATTTTGACCAATAATTTTAAACTACTTGGTACATTTTCAACAATTATTATTCATACAGTGCCAACATATTTTGCAGTATTCTACAATTATACGGTATATATATATATAACTGCAAATAGATACATATACAAGAGGTATGCTTTACCAAGTTTATAATTTAGGAATGGTGTGGAATTTTTTAATAAATCTACTTGTCAGAGGGATTACAGAAGTAACTCAGTCTGCTTGTGTCTTATGATAATCTGCTTGTCCTGATACACTGACAGGGTCATTCACTAAACTCCGCATTTTCGTGAATTAAATAATTACTCCATTAAAAAACAATGTTTTAGTTAAAAAAAACAAAAACAAAACATAGCATGTGACCCAGCAACAAGGAGACGTTTTCTGTAGAGCCCTATAGTTGTTTTGGTGCTCACAGTGTCCCTCAAACTCAAGGTTTGCTACTAGTTGTAATAAGGGCTGTTAATTAATGCTGCACTAAAAACTTGGACCGAGACAAACCATTACAACATATGCTTGTCTCCTTAATTTGTAGATTGTCGCAAAAGACTAAATGTGCTTTCCTGGTTGCCTAGACACACAGCCAATGCACACACAACACACGTGGCACACACCAGTCAAGCATATATACTTTACTCACAGCCAACATACACACATTATGGGGGGGGGGGCTAAAGGTGAAACTTCACCGAACTCCAAATTTGTGCAAACTAAAGGAACACGAGAATGTTAGGAATCAGGGGCGTACCAAGGGGTTGGCGAAACCAGCGCCGCCAGGGGCGCAGGCCGAGGGGGGACGCAAAAATCAAGTGTCAGTATGACAGGTGATTTTGCGCCCCCTGCTCGGCCTGCGGCCCCGGCACCCCAGGCTGCTCCATAAGGGATCCGAACACACAGTACTCACATACATTCCAAGGCCATAGCAGCCAAACTAAAAGCTTAGTTGACTTGGAAATTTTTCTTTCTTTTTTCCCTTTCCCTACAGTTCAGCCTCCCTGACCCTAAACGGGAACCTCAAACACAGCGGTTCATTGAGCAGGATAAACAACACTAGGTAACATGTAGAAAATTGCAATATTTAGAGTGGACACGCAGGTTTGAACAGGGAAAATAATACGGTCATAGTATACAAAACAATCAACTGTACAAGTGTCCATAATGCAGAGGAAATGTTAGCAGTATATACATTGTAGGGAGATGCTAGTAAAAACTGTGTTGTAACCTGCTCACGTCCCCGGTAGGCATGTAGGAGACTCCCAGCCGTTATTATCTTTTTCACCCCTTTATAAAAATGTTATTATACGTTCCTGTATGTTTTCTGACATGTTTTGGTTATTTGTATTTTATTAAAATGGAATAGTCCTGAGTAAAAATAAAGTGGTGTTAGTTCCTTTTGAAACTATGTGTCCTGTGTCTACTTTATTCAGGTATCCTGGTAAACAATTCTTTGGACCTGTTGCATGGGACAAAGTCAAAAGAGCTACCAGTAGGCCTAAGTGCCACAAGTGTTTTATAAAGGCACAAGCTAATAATTTTACAGGCAAAGGTGGGGAGAGCGCCACTGTTAGGCAAACTAGGCATTCGTCTAGGGAGCTGGCGTATTGGGAGTGCCCACCGGGATATTTCTTGGTGGGCTCCCCCTGTCTGGGTCTGCAGCGCTCGGTGAGCGGCAGGCCGATCCTCCTGGTGCCCGAAAGTGGGGGTGCCCAGAGGATCCCTGTCACAGGGGGACCAGGAGGTGGCCATTTGACCACCCCCCGAAGCTCTGCTAGGTAAAGCAGAGCAGGCACCTGCTTACCTTGATGGCAGATGCCTGCACTGCCAAGGAAAACCGTGAGCGGAGGAGAGGGGGACAGCAGGCAGGCTGCTCTATTGTGGGTGGCGAAGGAGACTGTTCTTGGACATTTCATATTGTAAACAAATGTTTATATCATAAACCAAGCAAGGAGCTTTAATTCATACTGACTAAAATCCACGACTGCTTGGGATTTTGGCTTACTAGTTATAAAAGTTAGGGGTCAGTTGTAGAATTATCTCATTTAAATAGAGAATTCTAACAATGAATCAATCAGTGCTGTATTTAAAATAACACACTGTAACATTCAGCAAGCAGCATGAGATTACACCACCACGTTTATACCATGCAGCACTGACAAAGAAAGGGGGGGAAATGAGGGGCTTCTTATAAGGGCAGGCGTCTGTCAATCACACGGATACTATCAGCGGATTGGACAGCCGTGTTCAATTCTGTCGGCTTTTTAGAGCCCGCCCTTTCTCTCCTTCATTGAGTACAGCTGTCTTCTATCAAGCATCCGATTGGCTGAATAGGCTTTACTAGTTTGTGGGCGGGGTTTGAGGATACGTGGTGGGTGGAGCGTTACCCGGAAGGGAGTTTATTTCATTCTCTGAGCCAGCAGGAGCAGGTGAGCGGGGCTGGGGAAGGATTCTATTGTGTCTGCAGAGAACGTTGTATTTATTATTGTATAAACTCAGACTAGGCTGTGAGTAACTATCACAATACTCCCATATCCTCATCCTTCTCATTGCCCCCAGCGAAGAATGGGTTCCCACATGCAGCTATCCGTCTGTCACTGGACAACGGTCTTAAATGTTCACTTATTTGGATTGTAGCCTGGTCTGAGGTGGAGAACCATGGTAGGATTGATTGTGCACAGTGAGGTGGTTTAATTGACTACACTCTAAAGTGTGACTTGTTGAGAATTCAAATTAAAATTCAAAATAAAGTTAATATTTTAGGTCAAAACTGTCGTCCCACAGTTATACCTACAAAACAGCCAGACGTAAAATATATTTGCCTTGGATAATTTTTCCAATGTGGCCCAACATTGGAAAGGGTTACGGCAAGCACCATGACCACTTCAGTGATTTGAAGTAGTCGTGGTGGTAGGAGTCTGTATGTGCAGGGTTTCTGCTTGAAACACGATCGGATGGAGAAATTTGCGCTTGTGTGTTAGAGGCTAGCTACACCCCTGGCACATGTGACTATGGCAGGCTGGAACTTTGTTCCCGGCTTCCAAATCTCAATTTTGTACATAAAATATGACCGTCATACGCAAGCATAGCACGTTAGCAACCAATGTATAGGGCTTCTCTCTCTTGAAGACAGAGCCTGAAAGGGAAAACATGGTGAAATCAAATTTCACAGCCCTCCCACCTCCATATCCTCTTAATTTTCTTTTTGTAATAACATTTTGTACCCTTCATCCCAAACTCCCTCTCCACATCCCCTCCGGCACAGATTGTGCGAGTGCCCAATGAGCTGGCGAAACAGTTTATTCACAGACTTTGTCCAAGATTGGATTCCACGGAAGTAAAAATCGAGCATTGTACTTAGAAATAACACCACCTTCTTCAAAAAAATGTTGGAATAACCCTTTAATATTTGTAAATTCTTGACAAAATGCACTTTAGTGAATAATCAGTCCTGTTAGTCTGACCACGGATGCATTGACTACACAAGTATCTTGATTGTGCACCCTTATAAAGTGTGTTCAGATCTGCAAACAAATGCAGTGGAAAAGTGTTAAGATGAAGAGTTGTACAAATGCTGGAATACACGTTTATATAAAATGTGTGATAAATATTGTATTTCTTGCCTTTACTAGCATATTGGGCTTTATATCTAAAAATAGATTTACATAATTAAAAAAAAAAAATTTAACCATTGTAATTGCAATCTCAGATATCACTGTACCAATACAGGTTGAGAAAAACAAAACCAGTGCTATAAATATATGTACTATAATTGTATATACTTAAAAAAAAAAAAAAAAAAAGACCAGTATAAGCCCATTTTATTAGTGCATTTTTAAATTTTCGATAAAAAGTAAGCTTTTATTTATTTTTATTAATATGAGATACAATCATTTTAGTACATTTTCCAGACCTTTCATTTTTTTTTTTTTAATTCTCAGAAAAGTTTACAGATACTATATGTAAATGATATCCAGATGTCTCTAAAGACGCAGTTGGGTTTTATCTCTTTATCGTTAAACTCCCAGTAAACAATATCACATTGATGCATACATGCTGATAGGGGCTTAAATGATGGTTGGGAAGCCATACCTGCCCTGTATACTTGGGCACACCCTCTGTATATGCTTATGATAATCCTCATTTTGCAATCTGTAATTAAAAGTTGCTTGTTTTCGATCTAAATTTAATTACACAATACAATCCACCTTGTTATGTATCGTATTAGGAAACTTTTTATTTTTTTCCCATAAGGCATTGATCACTGAGAACACAATTGTGCAATTTGCTAGATTTAATATTTACTAATTGAAACGTGCAAAATCGATTTAATCTGATTACTCGCTTTCTTCAAAATAGTCCTTTATGTTTAAGTGTTAATTCAAGCACCATGACTACCCTAGTGATCTGAAGTGGTCATGGTGTCTAAAGTCTGTATGTATAACTTTTCAGTATGAGTTTAACCCCTGTACAGCTGTAGGGGGAACTCCACCTCCGGCAACGTCATTGGTGTGTAATTAGCCGTCTTGGAACAGAATTTGGTGTGGATCGAGTTAGTATAGTTTAACATATTATTAAGGGATGCAGACATATGCTGTTTCTGTAGGCAAAGAAAGTACCGGTATGCTCTATCACTGGAAATGTGAAAGGCTATAACCAGACCTCAATTATTACCAAACATAAAAATGCAATTTCTCATGAAAAAAAAAATATAAAAAATGTTTTTTGTATTTCCCATGTTTCTTAAAGGGTTACTACAACTGTTTTTTTTCCTCACAGTTCTGCTTTTTAAAGAATCATCCCTTATTGGGCATTATTCTTTAGGTCCTCCTATGTGGCGAAACCGGCCTCGCCACGTGTCCTTGGAGGGGGCTGCTTGCCCGCCTCTTGCCTTTGGACTATGGACCAGACTTTATGAGAATGTGTTAACCCAGATAGCTATGCCATGGAGCCCATTTGTGTAGTTAAAGACTTCGGCTCCATAGCAATTGAACTGTGTGAATAGGATCTGAGCGCTCTTCAGTAGTTTTGTGCGCTCAGATCCCAGCTATCTGGGGATATGTGAAATGTCTGTGTGTTATGTGAAAGGTTACTTTATGTATTTTAAAGTGTTTTGTGTCTTTTTGCAACCATGTGCTTAATGGAGTCTTGTGTCTGTCCTGGGAGATAATTGAATTACTCTCCAGGATAGAAGACTCTGAAACTGGTTTGGGCCAGAAAGCCATGCTTCATTTAGTCACAAAGGACTTTTTACTAACTTTTGAACCCCTTGTCTGATTTGTGCCATTTTTGAATATGTTGTTCCCCTGAATGGATTGATTGTGAATATGTAATTTTATGTGAATGTGATGTATGGTTTTGGAGTTATGAAAGTTGGGTAGAAAGTATGTTTTAACTGTATGTATAATTGAGTTTCCTCTCAGGATAAGGGGAGGGAATATGTGGGATGTAACTGTGATGTGATTGGTTGTTTTGTAACGCCCTGTGGGCTGTACTATGTTTGTGGATTGGGAATAAAAGAGACTGTATGTGACAGTACAGGGAGTTCCTGCTTAACCCTCAAAGTGAAGTGTCGTCTCATTATTGGGGGAAGGATTTATTGTATGCTGTTCCAGTTTGACTGCTAGGAGAGTAAACCTATTCGTATGGTTCCTATTCAACTGTCTACAGCATTCATATGCTTGAGAGGATTCAAATGCTTCTCCGGTTCGGTGGTTGTGGTGTCTGCTGCAGTGCTTGGAGTCCTCAGGAAGTGCTAGGAGCATCCTTTAACGGAGGTACCCAGTCGGGGTGCCAGGCGATCCGTTACATTGGTGGCAGCGGTGGGATGGCGTCCTAGTGCGAGGTAAAGCAGCTCAGAGACACAGTTCGTTTGGAGTTACAAATTGAGGGCAACGCTAGCACACGTGCAGCGCCCCTGGGAGCAGAGGTATCCAGCGACTTGGAGCAGACAAGTATGGAATGCTCTGGCGATGATTGGATGGCCGAGGTGAGGCAGCGAGTGGCCCAGTATGGGGATGATTTACCCATGGAGGTACGCCGGGTGATCTGGAACCAGGTCACGGCCGAGCGAAACACAAGGCTGGCCCGAGAATTCCGGCTGGCGAAAGAGAGAGAGTATGCTCAGCGGAAGGAGTGTTACAGCAGCCGAGTAGAGGCTGCATCCGAGGAGGCTAGCCGTCTCCCCCTGAGGCGGCCGCAGGAACCCGAAGTAGGGGTCCTCATAGACTGGTCCTGTGAGGAACCACAAAGGCATGTGGAGATGGGACCGGCCCAGATCCCCAGCAGCAGCCGGAGTTGCCAGGTGCGGAAGCAGGTGGTCCTTACTCGCAAATGTTGAGGGACCTCACAGACTGGTCCTGGGAAGACCCACAGAAGGCAGGTGGAGATGGGACGGCGGTCTCTCTACCGGCCCTACAGGGATGCTGGGCGGTCGGCCCAGATCTCCAGCGGCAGTATATATCACAGGGAGCTGAAGGTGCTGTCCTTCCTCCCCAGCGGCAGTGTGAGTCCCAGGGAGCCGAAGGGGTCGTCCTTCCTCCCCAGCGGCAGTGTGTATCCCAGGGAGCAGAAGGTGTCGTCCTTCCTCCCCAGCGGCAGTGTGTACCCCAGGGAGCAGAAGGTGCCGTCCTTCCTCCCCAGCGGCAGTGTGTACCCCAGGGAGCAGAAGGTGCCGTCCTTCCTCCCCAGCGGCAGTGTGTACCCCAGGAAGCAGAGACCGTCTGTCTCGCACCCCAGCCGCAGGACAAAATATTGAAAGGGGAGACAGTTGGTCCCCCTCTCCACCAGCAAAGAGAGTGTCAGGGAGAGGAGCAGGTTACCCCCTCTCCCCAGCGGCAGTCTACAGTTCAGAGAGAGGAGCTTGTTACACCCTCTCTCCAGCGGCAGCCTAACCCACCAAGGGGAGATGTTAAGCCCCACAACTATGCAGATGGGACCGTAGTCTCTGCACTTGCAGCACCAGGGGTAGGGACAGTCGGTCCTGTCCCCCAGCCACAGAGCAGTGTATCCAGAGGGGAGACAGTCGGTCTCCCCCTCCCACAACCAGGCTCCAACCAGGCTACTTCAGTGGTAGCGCTGGCACCCGGGCAGAGTACCGCTGGTCTCTGCCCACTCAGCAACCCACCAAGGCAGTCTACCAGCCCCCCGCACAGCCGTGGTGAGGCACCTGGACATGGACAAGTTGCTATTTTATCCAGGTGTAGTAACCAGTTATTGTGGGTGGGCTGTATTGCTGTTTGTGCTTCGTGGGTGGGTTGCTGGACTAACCAGGGCACTGACCGGCAGGAGGTCAGATACCCTGTTAGTCTGGATGGTAAAGGGGAGAAATGTGGCGAAACCGGCCTCGCCACGTGTCCTTGGAGGGGGCTGCTTGCCCGCCTCTTGCCTTTGGACTATGGACCAGACTTTATGTGAATGTGTTAACCCAGATAGCTATGCCATGGAGCCCATTTGTGTAGTTAAAGACTTCGGCTCCATGGCAATTGAACTGTGTGAATAGGATCTGAGCGCTCTTCAGTAGTTTTGTGCGCTCAGATCCCAGCTATCTGGGGATATGTGAAATGTCTGTGTGTTATGTGAAAAGGTTACTTTATGTATTTTAAAGTGTTTTGTGTCTTTTTGCAACCATGTGCTTAATGGAGTCTTGTGTCTGTCCTGGGAGATAATTGAATTACTTATCTCCAGGATAGAAGACTCTGAAACTGGTTTGGGCCAGAAAGCCATGCTTCATTTAGTCACAAAGGACTTTTTACTAACTTTTGAACCCCTTGTCTGATTTGTGCCATTTTGAATATGTTGTTCCCCTGAATGGATTGATTGTGAATATGTAATTTTATGTGAATGTGATGTATGGTTTTGGAGTTATGAAAGTTGGGTAGAAAGTATGTTTTAACTGTATGTATAATTGAGTTTCCTCTCAGGATAAGGGGAGGGAATATGTGGGATGTAACTGTGATGTGATTGGTTGTTTTGTAACGCCCTGTGGGCTGTACTATGTTTGTGGATTGGGAATAAAAGAGACTGTATGTGACAGTACAGGGAGTTCCTGTTTTAACCCTCAAAGTGAAGTGTCGTCTCATTATTGGGGGAAGGATTTATTGTATGCTGTTCCAGTTTGACTGCTAGGAGAGTAAACCTATTCGTATGGTTCCTATTCAACTGTCTACAGCATTCATATGCTTGAGAGGATTCAAATGCTTCTCCGGTTCGGTGGTTGTGGTGTCTGCTGCAGTGCTTGGAGTCCTCAGGAAGTGCTAGGAGCATCCTTTAACGGAGGTACCCAGTCGGGGTGCCAGGCGATCCGTTACATCCTATATAAACATTAAAATAATGTTTACAGCAAAGCTATATCTCACTTGAAATCCAACGCCAGGCAATGCTCTTAGCGTGGCTTTTTCACTCCCAGTGAAGCTGCTGAGAGGTCCAGTCAAAGTCTCCTAATAGAGAAGCCTTTGTTTGGACCTTTTAATTGGCTCAGAACACATGCACACGCTCTTAGCTGGCAAATGGAGGGAGTTTAAAAAAAAACCAAAAAAAAAAAAACCCCAGAAGATAATGGAGAGGAAGGGAGGGTAGACAAATGGTTCTACTTTAAGGCTCTGCCTGCAAGGTTGAAGCTAATAAAATCTATTGCCAGCATGTTGTATTTGCCGAGAGTTGACATTTGGTAGTCTGGATCAGGGCACAGCACATGCAAATATCTTAGGATGTGCAGCATTTCAAGCAGAAACGCTGTACATACAGACTCCTCCCACCATGGCCACTTCTCAAAACAGAAGTGGGTATGGTGGGTGGACTAACCCGCTAAACATTAAAACATGTGACTTAAGAAAGAAAAAAAAAAACATTGTCTTAATCAGGGGTTCTCAACGTTAGTCCTCAGGACCCCCTACCAGTCCAGGGTTTAGGAATTACCTGGGTGTGTCTAAGGTGTTTAGAAAAAGAAAAAAAAAAACACCTTAGAGTCTAAGGTGTTTTTTTTCCCTTTTTCTAAACACCTGAGACACACCCAGGTAATCCCCAAATCCTGGACTGGTAGGGGGTCCTGAGGACTGGGTTAAGAACCCCTGGTCCTAATCTTCTTATCTCCCCCAATAGATTTTCTGGGAGGGAAAAGACTTGTGTTTCAATTCAGATTATTTTTTTTAAGTATACAACGCTGAACATACTTCAATATGTTGTATTGCTGCCAGAGGCAACTCCACCTCCCGCCAGTGTAACTCCAAGTCCTCATTAGACAGCATGGAACTCTCGTTCTTTAGACAGAAGGTAATTCAGTGGTTGAGAGTGCTGTCAGCCAATGAATGACCAATAGAATCAGCATCAGGCTAGCGCTGCAGAATCCAAATATGAGTCACATGGCATGACAGGAGGCACGGCGCCTATTGGGACTCTGGTAAGTGGCAAAGCATTGCAAGACGGGTTGCCCCAATACCGGGGAACAGCACCAGGCTACACCAAATAGTGATGGCTTGACAACTGGGTCATAGCATCTACAATCTGGCAAGTCTTGTGGGGTGTTCCTGGTATGCAGTGGTTAGTACCTGCCAAAAGTGGTGCAAGGACACATGGACATGTCATGCCAAAAGTGGTCCT